CGGTAGCGCTCCCTCTTGCACTTTGGGTGCAGCAGTCTGCTGCTGGAGGAGCTGCTTAAAGACACCACTGTCTCCCCAAGTAAAAAAGAAATATACTTAAGTAGCAATTTTTTTTGGATGCACTTATCATATTTTAATTGTACTATACTAAGTGTATACTAAATGTGTTATTTTGGAACAACTTAAAGTATGTTAAGTGTCATTTTAGAAATACTTAAAGTCAACTTTAAGATAATTGCCATATATTTTAATATACTTAGTTGTGTTAAAATGGACCTATTTTAAGTACCTTTACTGTAATTTTAATATACTTCTTTAAATTTAACTTAAAATACCCTTTTGCGCTATACTTGAAAAACAGTTATTATATATAATAAATATATTTTAAACTTCACATAAATGTGTTCCCTGAACATTTTTATTAGCATTTCAGCATATTAGTAATTTATTACTAGTATACTCCAAGAGCCACTATTAATATCTTGGGAAATTGCTTTATAAAACCATTCAGTATGAGAATAATTCATTATTAATGCATTAAAAATACCTTGCAAAATGCCCTTTTAGCATAATAATAAAAATCAGTTAAAAAAATGTATTTTACAACACAAACACATACAGACAACTGAAAGACTTTAATTTTGTGTACATTACAAAAATAACTTCTTGTACATTAAGAGGTACAGCAGCATGTATCACATCTTGACCAAAATACCTTCAAATAAAAATAAAATCAGTAAAATGATGACATATGATCAGTATTACTGAAAAGTACACTATACACATCCCGTCATTAATGTTACCCATGGTGGTCCCTCATCCGGTTCGGACTCTGGGCATGGCTCAGATGACCTCACGGCAAGCCATCCCACTTCTGACACCATTGCAGCCAAAGGCGAGAGCAGTCATCCTACCCAGATTTGAACACAGGTGTACATGGTACCAAACATACCACATGTCATTTCACATTAACACAGCAGTCAATTTGTGAAATAGCCAATTACTTAAAGGGACTATATGTAAGTTTTTCAATGAAATTAATCAAATTTTCATTGCCTTATTGTCAATGGGCTCAAAACTCGCTTAGAAATGAAGCACACGCCTGTTTTCTCCGTTGCTTGTGTCAGCCACTATTCTGCTTTTAATGTGAGGTCTCCGGGTCGGATTCAGCTCTGTGCGCTCTCAACACGCCAGCTAACGACATGAAGTACACTAACACAATAAAACAACCGGCTCACAGCAAAACACATGCTCCACGTAAGGATACAAAACAACAATAAAGTTTTATGTGCTGTAGCCCATCAGACCAAACAGGTTCAGATGATGTCGAGTAAGAACAAAGTGAGCATTAGTAAAGCTGGAGAAACACAGGGAAAGTCACGTTAGCTCGCCGGCTAACGCCGACCAGTTGCTAATGTTATCCGGTGTAAAGTTATAGCGCTTCCCATATTACTTGAACAACTAACGCGTCCCATGTTACTATCCTGTGTACCACTGTTAATATATCCTGCAAGAAAGGATGTAACGGTAAAAAGCTAATGTGGAGCGATTTGTTTACTAATATTAGCCTATAGTGATGCAGCCAGCTAATGCTACAGTAGCTTGGACCTGCCACTGTTTGCTTCATAACATTCAGTTTAGGTTTATTGTCGTTTTACCAATACTCAGGTACACAGCTTCTCCACCTCTCAGTCGCTATAACTAACGTGACCCACATAATATACAACACTGCAACCGAATAGTCACAACAACACAGAGTAAGAGCCATGCTCTAACACTAGTTACAGTAAAGTTACTTACTGCGGTCTAACTGTTATAAAGTGTGACACAATTTTATAATATTCAGTCCAGTATATTTATAGTATATAAGTTTCGTTATCATCCAATACATTTAGCTGTGCTGACATTGCTGAGCCTCCGGTGAAAGATACACAGATAGTTACTGAAAGCAGCAGGCGAGCTAACAATGTAGCACGTCGGCTAAAGGCAGCAAATGTACTGTGATCATGTAACGAGCATGGATTAGTTCAACCTGCAGCTGATAAAACTATTACTGTAAAGTTGCAGTGGGAGTTTACCTGAGTCTCCATCTCTGCCTGTCTATAGTAAGTAGGTTAAAGTTGGCAAAGGGTAGGTTCACGTTTTAAAAAATTAATACAGGATCTATGACCATCCAAAGAGCAGTATTGAGCAGTATTTCACATTGAATCACATGCTATTATATCTTGTGGTCAGGCATTGCAGTACATAAAAACATTATTTCAAGCGCATCTTAAAAAAATTCTCACATACCCGTGTAAGTTACACTTTAACATTGCTGTTATAACTGAACTATTGGTCACTGTAATGATTACCCCTCCATGGTTGCAGTGAAGTGAAATCTCTAAATAAAAACAGTGTACCTTAGAAGATATTCACTTTTGAAAAGTGTAATCCAGATGCTTAGCTGATGATTCATAGTAGCTTCAGCTAAACTTTAGAATGAATTTATACAAAAATGACAACTGTAGTGATGTCTTTACAGACTATATGGGCAGGAATAATAATGATTACAGTGACCAATAACTTCCTGTAACATGGACATGTGAGTATTAAGGTAGACTATAAAAATGTGAACCTATTCTTTAGCACACAGATAGCAACATATTGGTAGCATTTATTACTTTGATAAAGACCTCACTGGTCATTTTAACAGTGCAAAAGCAGGATTGAGGGCTCATACAGGCCTGCCTTGTTAAAATCTCATGCATCAAATTCCAGCAACACGGTTACAGAGACTGTATATTACCGAAATTTTAGTAACATTAAAAACTGCCTTAGAGCAAAAAGCAATACATTACTGTAATGTTTAATTGTGTTACTTTTGTAATGCGTTACTCCCAAAACTGTCTAAGGCAGATGAAAGTTGCTGTCTCGATTATGAAGCTATTAAAATGCTAACTAACGTTAACTTAGCTAACAAATATAGTAATCTACGTGCTAGCATTAGCTAATGCACAGCAGAGCTATCCACCAAGGAAAATATTTCCAAACCACGCTATGTGATTGGGTCGTCGATTTGAAAACCTTGATTCTGATTGGTCAGGTTGAATGCACTGCACTAGTGGGCAAAATTGAGCTTACTTTGCAGAAAAAATAATCTTTACAGTTTCAATAGGGACCTCGCACGGTTCGTGCTCAGGCCCTAATTACAATATTTTGCAGTACTCTACACAATGAAGCATGTTTGGCATATATTTTCAACCCACTAAAAGTGTAATTGTTTAACAATGTACTTCCACAAAGTACACCTAAACAGTATTTACTAAGAGTTAAATAAATATATTTTTAATAAATATACTAAAATGTTGTAAAAATATACTTTTATTTAAGCATATTTATTAAAAGTTTAATTAAGTATATATTTATTACCAATTTATTCAAAGTATACTTTTGAGAAGTATGTTAAAGCTCAGGAGAATATATCTTTAATATACTTGTAGTAAGCATGTTAGGAGTATGAATGTACTATAAGGATAGGCTACTATGTGAATTTCAAGTATATTTTCAGTGCCTTTAAGAGCACTTCTTTTTGACCTGGGTCATGCAGGGGGTGGGAGCTGTTTTCCCTGATGGACTTCAGCTTGACTAGCATCCCCCTCCCACCCACCTGCTCTGTGGTGCAAAACAACCTTTATACTTGTTATAATGTTATTATTATAATCCACTGCGGGTGGAAAGTACATTTACTTAGGCACTGCAGTTGTACTTCCATAGTATTTTGCTTTTATGATACTTCAGAGAGATATTGTACTGTACTCCACTACATTTTTTCATCTTTTCAAATTAGGATTTATGCTTTTATAACACATGACACGCTGAAATAAAGGTGAAATCAATCATTTATTAAGATGTTAAGTGTATTTTTGTTTTACTGTGGTGTCACATTTTTTATATCTCTAAGGGGACTTTATAAGCATTATTGTTTTTGAGGATCAGACTCATAAAGCAGCCTTAATGCTTTGTCAAATCAAAACCTGGTTTGATGCAGCAGCGGAAAGTCCGGGGAGTGGAAACGCTGACTAACGCTGGTTAAAAACAGAATGAAACTTAGTTAATGGTCATTATAACGGTGGCTCGCCGGGAGATGCGCACCGCTGCCGGTGCGCGGCGCTGTTCTGCGCCGCAAAAAACCCCGCAGCAGGCCCTGTCCTCTCCGCCTGTCTTTCCCTCTCCTGTCTGCCTCTATCATAGGTATCTCTCTCTATCGTTGTCACCAAACCTCCTTCTGCTAGGATCGAGGCTGCAAGCCATAAATCCATAAAATCCTCCGTGTTTCCTTGTGAACTGAGTAAAAATAAAAAAAACACCGGGGAAAGTGAGGAAGCTGCGTGTGTGAGGATGCAGAAACGTAAAAATATTCACATTAACAGCCCTGCAGAGACTCCTTTTTTCTGTGGGCTAAGCGTCAACATGACCTCATCGAGATTTATCTCACTTCGTTATTAAAACCTCTCCAGGATTTCCCAGAGGAGGGGAGGGTTTGCTGTTTGACGGCCGTGTCGATCATGAACGCCGTTTCCCAGATCGCCTCCCTGTGACAAGAGTGGAGTGTATGTGTGTGTGGTGTTGGTGGGGGGTATTTCTACACTCCAAACTACCCTTCGTCCCCCCTATGCCCGTCCGCCTTGTCCTCTGACATATCGTCTCCAAATCTCGATCTGGACGTTTCCTCACCCGTAAAATCAAGCACACAAAAACCTCGATATGTTTTCCAGCTCAGCTCAGCTCTTACCGGCCGAGAGCTGCTGCTGTTTTTCAGCTTTCACCCCTTCGTTTCTGAAAAAAAGAAAAGCTGACTGTTTGTTTTCCCTTTATATGCACAAAACCCAGTACCCAAACCAGAACACTCGACGCTTAAAGTGCCATTAAATGTTATGGGTTTTGCTGTTGGACGTGCGTTTGGCACACACACTCACACTGACACACACACACACACACACACACTGTGCCTCCTTGTCGTGGCAGAACACGCTCCTAAGACAGTGACTTTGGGAGGCATAGCCTACCATGTAGCCTAAAGAAAATTGTTTTGTCGTGGCATTGGGTGATTCAAGATTCAAACAGCCTGCAGAAACACATCCAGAGCACAGGAGAGGTGCGCTTTTAAGCTCAGTTTCTCCGTGGCTGGCTGAACTTTATATCGAGCATATATTAACACTTTGTGGCCTGTTTTTTTTCCTCCTCTAAAGCTGGAGGACTCCATTTTGAAGGGACCGGGTGTGCAGCCAGCCAGAGACAACCACAGCAACTCGTCTCAGGAAAGGAAACCCATCTGTTTTTCCGGGTAGCCTGCTGCACCATTCACTGCTTCTCAGACGTGGTGTTGGAGGACATTTTTGAATTTACTTCATTTATTTCTTTTTTCGTCTCCTCCAGGCGCATGTGTGCTGCCCAAGTGCGTGTCGGGGTAGAGGTGGTGGTGGTGGAGAAGATGCCAGTTGTTGGCACAAGTTTGGCATGTGACATGTCATTGGTGATGGCAGGCTGGTATAGGTTAATAATTGATGCTTGTAATTAAGAAGAGGGCGGGGCTATTTTTGGAGGTGTCGTGTGGTCGCCCAGTGCGCTTTTTGGAGGCTGTCAGCTCAGATTGTTTTCTGTTTTTTTCTTTTCTTTAAGGGAGATTTACGGCCCCTTCTGTGCTCCATGCTGTGGACCGGCTGGGGAGGGAGGCAGTGGTGACGACTGACAGTGCGCACAGCAGAGAGAGAGACTGACTTTCAAGGGGCATGCAGAGTCTGCAGGCAGGAAACAGCCATTCAACAGAGCAGAAATCCATAGACGGCGAATTATAAAGTTGTAGTTATCACAAAGAAACAAGGGGGAGTGTCGCTGGAGGAGCACAACACGCCTGAATTTCTATTCCAGGGGCCGCTGGACCAGGCTTTAGCGCATGTAGAGAGGAGGAGGAGGGGGGAGGAGGAGGAGGAGGGGAGGTGGGGGTGAGTGAGTACGTTTCACAGGATCCAGGCCTAGTAGTATTGCCGCTGGGACTCTCCTCATCCGCTTTCAAAAAATTGGAAATTGGCACATTTAAACGCCATAATGAACGGGTTGAGGGTCATGTTTGCGGTGGCCGACACCGGAATGGTAAGATTCTCGCGACAGATCCCGTGTCATTTGGCGTTTTCTGCGTGATTTTGTTGTTTGATTTACATCTAGCCCGCATCTGTCGGAAGGAAGTCTGTGGAAGTGTGTGTCTCTCTGTGTGTGCGTGCGTGTGTCTGTGTGTGTGTGTGTATAGGTGAACTTGTCTTGTGTCGTCGTCTCGTGGTGTTATGTAGCGTTTGTGTTCCTGTCTCGTGCAATTACGGAGCCACTGCAAGCCACAACAGACGTACACACACACACACACATGCAGTTGCACACACCTATACACACACGCAAACACACGCGCGCTATCTACATGCGCGCGCACGAACGGGTCCATTTTAATTCCAGTTGGTGGTTACAGCGCCGGCGTGTTAGCGTCGGGTTGATTTTTAACGTGACGCGCTGTAATAATCCTACAGGCTTTATTGTGAGTGTATACTGCATGTAGGTGTGTGAGTTTACAGGCTGCTGACCTTATTGTGCTTGATGTCATTTTCATCATATCGCGATAAATTTCCTTTACAGCTAGGTTGCGTTGTGCGGCGCATTATCTCTCTCTCCCCAAAAAATGTCACGTTAGGTTGATCCTTTCATCGTCAGGAAATCTGTTTACGTTTTATTTTTGACATCCTCTGAAGGCAGATTGTGCTGTATTTAAGGATTTGATGTGTGAGCTGTCCCTTTGCTCTGTCTCATTACCAGCTGCCAGGGATAACTTTAGATAAGCTGTAGCGATGTTGTGACAGATTGTAAAAAGCATGCTATGCAAAAAACATGGCTAAAGTAATTTCTTATAGGAAAATTATGCTAAGATTATAGATCTCTTAAGATATCTTAAATTAAACAAAATCACAACTGCATTCCACAAGTAATTAGTGGGCGTTATAGGTGGCTTATAATAATAGGCTATAGGAAAAATACGCATAGTCGAAACTTTGATGTTTATGATTGTTTGGTGCCAAGAATGTACACTGATCATTTTCTGTTCATGTTTCAGGAAGGAACAATGCCAGCATGAGTGGGCCTTACACAGGCCCTGGCAGGGAGACTCATCAGTCCAGCTGCCCTTTGACCCCCGGTCGTGACCTCTCCTCCCACTCTTGCTCCTCCAGACACCATGACCACAGGATCAGCCTCGCCATGTCTGCTGCTGCCTCCTCCTCCTCCCTCAAGCATGCATCCATCTTTGGGTTCACACAAAGGGACCACCACTCCTCCTCCTCTTCGTCCAACTACAGTCCCCTCAGGAGGCTGCAACATCTCACCACCATGGTGAGCCAGCCTGACTTGGTCCTGCCGATAAGGGAGCCAGAGAGGAGCTGGGAGTGGGGGGTGAACAAGAAGGAGAGGGGGAAGGAGGTGGAGAGGGATTCCTGGGCTGATTGCACTAGCAGTGATTATCCTGGCAAACAGAATACAAGCAGGGAGGAGAGCTTTGGTAACTCTTCTGCTGGACAAAAACAACCCGTGGTCCAAACTAGAAGTAGAGACGTGCCAGCGGCCAATCGGAGCGAACCTGTTGTCTCTGAGAAAAAGACAGAAGGTTGTTTCTCAGGCCCGCCTAGCCCTGCCTTCTCTCTCGATAGCAACAGCCCCTTTGCTAATGGCTTCCTCCACTTTGAATCCTCTTTATTTGAGGATGACGACAATGATGAAGAGCGGGAGGCCGTGTCACCTATGAGAGGCTTACAGGACAAACAAGAGAGGGCGGGGAACGTCCGTCAGTCCACTACTGGAGACTTAAATTTGGACTCTAAGGATGCTACCCTGTCGTCAGCCAAGGTCGTCACCCGGTCCCAGTCCTCTGGTCAGCGCAGGAGATACTGGGACGGCTCAGATGACGAGTGGGAAAGCGACACCGAGCTGTTCCTGTTTGAGGATAGTCACTCAAAGCATTCAATGGCAAGTTTTACCCTTATTACCCTAAGTGAACTTGTCACAAAACAACAGCTTTTCATTTTTATTTTAGCAGTAGCAACATCTTTATTAGATAGACATACAGCTTTGTTTCTGGTGTAGAGAGACCCAACATAATAACATTTCAAAATGGCCCTTAGTCAAAAGTGGACTGACATTCACTTGACTAGAAAATATGCTTTATGGTGCTGGATTACATAACTTTTGTACAAACAAACCCTGTGGCATGGAATACTCAACACCTCACTGCCTTTCACCTGTTACATTACAATACATTACATTTACTCATTTTGAAGATTCTTTTATCCAAAGCAACTTACATTTGATGAACAACATACAAGCATCAACAAATCATCAATACAGCATGAGATCTATAACTGACAATACATACTAAAAAGAGCAACAATAAATACTAATAGCACGCATGACATCAATGGGGTAAATACCTGGGGAAAGAAGTAAGAGTTAACAAAAAGTGTGATCAATACAAAAGAATTGTAAGGGGATAGAAGAAGAAGAAGAAGAGCACAGGAAGTGCATGTTAGGGGTTAGAGGTGTTATAGTAGAAAGTGTTCTCGGTAGAGATGAGTTTTCAAGAGCTTCTTGAAGTTAGAGAGTGACGCACCTGCTCTGATGGCATGTGGTAGCTTGTTCCACCATTGCGGTATCACAGATAAGAACAGCTCTGTTATTACAGAGTAGTGGTCATTATCAATGATGGGTGGGCACAGACACAGCATGCCTCCACAACTGTAGCTCTGCCATTGATGAACATGATTCTTTTCTACTCCAGAGGTTTTTTCTACTGTGAGGAGGGAAAGATGTGAGGCTAACGTACCACGTAAGGTGAAAGGGACAGGAAGTTAGTTGTTGCGGACTGATTTGGCCTGGTCACCTACATGGTCAGCAGTTGCAGCTGCAGCAGTGAACACCTTAGCACCTGTTTGAAGTGCAATTTGCATCAAAACTCACACTACTTCTCTGAGTCATAACTCAATCTGAACACACAAACATGATACACATATTTTTAGATTCATTGTGATTTACACTACATGAAGATGTTATTATCTCCTAGGTCTGCCACAAATAAAAGTCAATAAATCATATAAAGAAAGAACTCCAGTTGTGTGTACATCCATATGTACAATGCAAAGATGAACAGATAATAGCTAATTCTTCTTTTAATGGTGACTATTTGCCAAAATGTAAACAAACATAGGATAAAGGGTAACTGACTCCATGGCCGAATTGTACTACTGTAGTTACAACATTATTGCATGATTATCCACCAAAATAGAAGTAAGACAAAGAATAATGATAGGATAATATTTATTTATAGTATTAATATTTACTTTATATATAGATATAGATATATACAGTATGTATGTATGTATGTGTATATTCATAAATACTATATATTTACACTCTATATTTGTCTTTTTGTTGTTGTTTTTGTTGTTTTTTTGACAGTACTAAGGCTCAGAAAAACCCATAAACATGCTTCTTATATTCCTGGAACACATACCATCCTCTTTCCATTCAGATGCAGATATAGGAAATGTATGTTGAAAACCTCTGGATATACAGGCAAAAATTTTGTCCACAATGTCAGACTTTGAAAACTCCAGACCTACTCTAATTAGGGCCTGACTCGCAATTAGAGATCATGTAGGTCTTTTCCTCCACAGGAGCATAACAACCTCTAACTTAACTTTTCATTGTCACTGGTTCTGCTTTGTTTCTGCTGTTCTCTAACCGCTTTGGAGACACGTTCCTCAAACTAAATTTTGACACCGCTCAGGGCATGATGCTAAATCCAAAGAAAGAGGCGAGAGCAGCACGCCCACAACTCGTGAAGACAATAGACATTTGACTTGTCAAGCAGGAAAAGCACACGTATTACTTGTAACATTAGCAATGCCTCTGTCAGTAAACCATGACAGTACCAGGACCCTAGAACTGAAGCAGCTTAATGAAATTCAGCCATCAATAATTTTAGTATTTAAACCTGTGCTTTTCTTATTGTAAAAAGCCCATGGTCATTCAGTGCCAACAAAAACCTCCTCATGGTCATATAACAGCAAAAACGCAATTAGCTGAGTTTGATATTTATCGGTGTTGATGGCATTCACAAGAACACCTATTTAGTAACAAATGTCCTATAATGTTCCTGATCAGAGCACCTGATCAAAGGGAAAAATTGTGTTAAGAGGTGGATGCTACACTGAAATCAGAATCAGCCTGACCAGTAAATCTGCCGGGCTCTAATCAGGCTCTGCTGGTATGTAAAAAGGTTGTGGTTTTACAGGTAGTTTGTGAGGAAACCAGCGTAGATCCCAGGAAGTCACGGTTCCTGGCCAAGAAATAGTTACAGCAAGCAACTCCCCATAAGACCACAACTTGTTGTTTTTACAAACACCTGTTGACACAGCCAGGTGAGGTGTAAATTATGAATCACTTTGTCTTTTTGAATAATTGAATCATTTCAATTAAATGAGTCACTGACTATGTAGCTCATTCACTGTTTTTCCCTAAACTATCATTCGCATCACTGTAAAAATGTACTTATGTACAACAGTAAGTGAACGCATCACCGCTCATACGGACGCGACATTCAGCACTGATTCTGTCCTCAGTTCATTAGTGTGCTCAGTTTGTTGCCAATTTGAGCTGTTAGGTTCAGCTAAGTACAAAACTAGGCCTATACAAGCACTGTTAATACATCATGTCACATCATGATTGTTTTTGCTGGCTTTTGACAGTCTTTGAACGAGGAAATAACATACTGTGTATCACAACTGGGCTGATAATGATGCTGTCCGTCACCACTGAGGAGCTGCCCTGCAAGAAGCTACTGATTCCATCAGACACTGATGATTCAGTATAGTCCTATTCATTCATTGCACATAGAAAGGCCAGGGAAACCGGGGTTTGAACTTACAACCTTCTTGCTGTGAGGCGACAGTAACTTTCGATCAGTAAACTAAATTGAAAGATCTCTGCGAGCGCTTTTTCTTTTATTGATGAGTCGCAAACCTCCTCCAAAAACGACAGTCACAAGTATAAAACGAGAAAGGAGTCTCTTTAAACAAGTCACTTAACTTGCCTACAGTAAAAAGTCTAAAAAAGCAAAAGAGGAAAAGAGAATCTGCATGTCCAGCTGATCAAACCAAATACATCTGAAATCAGCTGCAGCCGGAGGCTCCGTGAGTAAAATCAGCTGATCGCTGATACGCCACAAAAGCGCTTAAATGATATGATGGAACGCAGCGATTGATCAGTGACAAGTGATGTGAATAGTAAATAAAAATGTACAGAGAAGTGTTAAGTGATACCAGAAGCTGAAACCAACAGAAAGCCAAGCTTGTGGTGATAAACTTGCAAAAGTGATGAACATGCCAGAGGCCGCAGCCGAAGGTGAGCAACTGTGCATGCAGGCCTTTATTTATACAGTTTATGGTAAATGCACATAATGAAAAAAAAGACATGCTCTTCTCTTTCTTTCGGTGTGTTGCTTGCGTGTTTGGCTGCAAGAAAAACCATACAAATAGTATTGTTTTGCCGCGATCTGGTTACAAAAAGTATCATTTGAAGTACTGGTTTGACTGGAGACGTTTTGATTCTTCTCGATACTGGACTGTTTTGGTCGATATCATAAAGTTATCGAGTAGAGATGCCCATCCCTACTTCACTGCGTAGTTAAAACAGAGTGTTAAACACACAGACTGAAAGGAGGTGCTGCAGCAATGTGCAGTATGACAGAAAGCTCCCCACTAGAAAGCACGCCCCATCCACAATGGCTGAATCCTTGCCGCAGCAACCCAGGTGCGAGTCCAACCTGCGGCCTATAGCTGCATGTCGTCCCCTTTCCCTCCCCCACGTTTCCTGTCTCTCCAAAAAAAAAAGTGTGGAAATAAAAGACTTCCACGATAGCGAGAACAAATAGTCAGGGACTGATCAACACGATGGATTATTTTATAGTACTTACAGTTGATCTGGTTCTGGTGCTCATCCAGGCAGCATTTTCCGCTCAGTCTCTCTTCCTCCTGGCAGTAAAACGTTACTGTGTTAGTAGTGTAAACAAAGACACTCCCCCAGTACACTGAGCTCCAAGTCTGGGTAGAGTCAGCTAACAGGACCGCTAACTACCTAATGGCAGCTTGAGTTAGCAGCACTGGACCGGTAAGTGACTTCTGAGTGACAAGAGAAAAGGTCCGCGTTGCAATAATCCGCTGAAATTTTAGTCCCAGTGGCAAGGCACAGCTCCCGAATGGAGATTGAGGTTTTCTGCGACTACCCAACTAATTTAGTTTTTGACCAAGGCTAACGGTTTGGTCGACTGTTAGGGGGCAGCCCTAATAGTCTTCAACTGCGTCTCACATGTCTTCATTCAGCACTGAATGCAAAAAGCTATTAAGTGGATCTTTGTGCTCAAGTTGTCCTCACTAATAACTCCAACATCTAATGTTTTCAGGCATACACCTCACAGTTGGTTCAGATTTCCTGCCACAACAGTTCAGGCAAAGACCCAGAGAAACCTAGACAGGTCAAGCAAAGTCAAAAAATCCCCATACAGGTAAACAAATCTCCTACTTTGGACTTAAAAATAAGCATTAGACTATAACCTGATCGGTTACAGTGATTTGCACAATTAAAGTTACTTCATGGGTTGTTGTTTATAAATGTAATATTTGTGATGATGATGATTTAAATCCACAGTCTTTAATGCGATCAACAGTTGTTTAACACAGGCAGACATGTATGATCATCATCTGTGAGTCTTCACATTATGGATTATACAGCAAGCCTATGTTAATGTCTTTTAAAGTAGAGTAAATGCACATCAAAATGCGGTGGGTCACGACGTACATAAACGTGTTGAAATAACAAGAGCGGCCAACACACCTGTAACTCTGATACAGAACATTTGGTGAGAACACAAAACCTGTTTTCATTTTCATACGTCTCACTGCAGTTTTTTTTCTCTATTGTAATGTTGTTGACAGCAGAACAGCCTCAAGAAAAAGCCTTTGCCCCCTGTGAAGTTTTTAGAGGGTGAAGTTATTTGGGCAAAGTTCAACCGAAGACCCTGGTGGCCCTGTGAGGTGATCGTTGACCCCGTACAGGGAATATATCACAGAGTGAAAGGTGGGCCTGAAACTTTGTTGACTTGCCGTGGTTATCTAGACTAATGCATTGTATATGGGTTGCTATGGATTATTTTGCTCGCCAGTTAATTGACATCCCCAGCTGGTGATAGCAGAGCTTTCTTGTATAATGAACAGTGATTCACAGTGTGTAACAAAGCTGATAATAAGATTGTTTGAGATAATCATTTAAGACATATTATTGCACACATGCTGAAAAACACATTCAGAAATGTATAGTTATGTTCCTCCTTCATCACTATTCATCCCTATTGGAAACAGTTGTATTCACTGACATGTACACTTACTGTATTAGGCTTTCATGCTATTTAAGTGTTTGTTGTTTTTCCTTTGCAACTGTGGATTTCTACAGTTAGTCTAGTCACAAACACTCAATTGTTCTAAAGTCCCAGTAAGTTGAGGCCACAAACTGCTGGTAAATCTACTAGATTATGGTTAACAGGAACTTATTAAATCAAATTTTATATAGAAGTGCTGCACATTTTATTGTAGTTGTGTAAAATCAAAGTTCAGTTTTCTTAAATTTTAAATCTCCCTTTGCGTAGTTGGGGCACTCGTGTATTTCCTGTGCAGGATTGTGTAGTTTTAGTTTACGTCTCATGAGATTGAGGCTCATGTTTTTGTTGTCTTAGAGCCCAGTGACCGGCCCTGTCGGCTCTACCATGTCAGGACCTTTGGGGAACCTGTGGAGCTAACCTGGGTTGAGGAAAAAGCAACTCATACCTTCCATGGAGGCTTTGAATTTGAACAGCTCACCCTACTGCACCGGAGGGGGAAGCAAAGGGAGCAGAACTACAAATATACTGTAATTATTATTTTATTAATTATGAGTAGCTACTTGCATGCCCTAATAAAAAAAGCTGGTCTAAATCATAATCATTGCTGGGTGATTGTCTTGTTAGAATAAAAGAAACTTTGCACACCACAAACCAAAACAGATTTGTTCATTCTTGTTCAATTACTTTATAATTGTTTACAAAGGGTGAGCAGTGTTTTCCTTTTATCTTTCTGCAGATTGCAAAGCGTTTTCAGGAGTCGTGGAAATCCAGTGTGGCACAAGCTGAATATGTTCTCCCAGAGAGACCCAGAATGGCTTCCTCCAATCCTTCATCTGTAGATGATACCTTCCACAACATTTCTACTCCGGAGACAGTGAATTGGGCCCATCCAACCTTTCCTCCCTCTACTTCGCCCACCCTTCCTGAGACATCGCACATGACCAATGGATCTATTTCATCCCCCGTCATTTCATCACCAATTACAACTCCAGCAAAGCCAAGCACTTTAAGGAAATCTTCTGGCAAGAAGAAACCAAGTAAATCGTCAAAGGATATGATTAGTAAACACTCTAAAAAGATGTTGCATAATAGCCCTGACCAGTCAGATAGAGACAATGGAGAGTGCCCATATTCTGATCTCGACTCAGTCCCTAAGATTTTGTGTCCTAAAGCACTTGAACGTCAGACTAAGCTAGTTCCAACTCAGCTATCAATTAGAGTTGTCAAAGAGGAGAAGAAGCAGCCAGAGATTCAGAGTGGTCTTTGGTTTAGTAAATCAGGCAAAGACAGACGACCTAAAACAACCAGTCCGCTGCCAGACCGCACTCTCTTTAGTAAGGTTCCCTGTAAGAAGAAGAACTCATCTGTAGTAAGTAAAAAGACACTGGTTCCTAGTGCCTCCTCCTCCGGTGGTGGACCCACTGACCAGTCAGGGTTGTCAGAAAAGCATAAGACTGAAAAAAATCTGCCACCTGAACAGTCAGGAAATTTTAAACATAAAAACACCCTGGTTGCTAACAGGCCTTTTGGTTCAACTTGTAGTCCCGCTGACGAATCAGGATTGTCAGACAAGCAGAAGTCCCTGGTCTCTGTTGAGACTGGTGTGCCCTCTGACAAATGTGGAAAGGGTAGACAGACAGTCAGTAATACAAGTGACACTTTTACTGCCACAAAGTTGGACCAATTTGGCAGCTCAGATGCTAAAAAGGCCTTAGAGCCCAGCCTGACTGTCAGTTTCAATGACCAGTCAAGGTTTTCAGAGAGTTTAAAGAGTGTCAGTCAATCTGAACATTCTGACATCATTACTAATAAAAAGGACAGGATTTCTGACCAAGCAGAAGAAGAAGAAAGTAACAAGACTCCGGCATCCAGTTTAAATGTTGACACTACTGACCCATTAGCAAGGCTAGAAAAGCAAACAAGTCTGGTCTCTCAGTGTAGGCAGCCCTTTGTCAAATTAATACGCAAGGACATAAAGGGTAAGAAGTTCCTAAACTCCAGTATAACCATTAGTCCCACTGACCAGTCTGGATGCACAAAGAATGAAAAAACACCTGATAGTAATGTGACTAACATGTCCTCTAAACAATCAGATCGGGTGGACGGCACGGCAAGTGTCTCCATAGATCAGGTAGTCAGTTCAGAAGCCATAAAGGTCTCAGTTAAGAAATTAAAAGCTAGCAGTGGGACTGGTATTCTTTGTCTCTCATCAGAATCATCACAAGGGAAAACCATTGCTGCATCCAATGTGGCAAGTGCATCTGATGAGTTATGTAGCCCTGAAGCTGAAAGGATACCAGTTTTAAATGTAAGTCCAAACAATGTGACTTTCTCACCCTCTAAACAATCAGATCGATCAGAAGGAAAGAAGACTTCTGCCACCAATGTAACAAGCATGTCGTCTGACCAGCAGGGCAGCGCAGAGCAAAACATTGCGTCTGTCTCTAGTACAGTTTTTAATACAGCTACTCTGCCTTCTGACCAGCATGGGACTTTAATTTGTAGGAATGCCCATGTGCCCCAAGGCCTGTCTTCTAAAAAATACAAGAAAGTTGTCCACAAATCAAAGCTGGTTCCAGAAAAAGTGAATAAAATCCTACAACAGGAGCAGCCTGCCCACCTCCCAGCCAGCACTCGGCTGATGACCAGAGCCCTGAAGGCCATGCAAGAGGTGGAACAGAAGAAGCGTGAAAAAACCAGAAAGGAAGCAGAGCAGAAAGAACTCTTGAATCCACACAGAAAAGCTGACAACCTTGTGTACCACTCTGCACGAAACTCCCGTTGGAATGCTGGGGCCAAACTGGACATTTGCAATAAAGTAAAATCTCTTGAATCTCATTGTAATGATGATGGTGAGTCTGATCAGGACGCTTTTTCTAGCAGTAGCACCCCCTCTTTTTCTGATTCAGTTGACTTTGAGGCTGATGTCAAGAGTGAAGATGAAGACCTCTCGATATCCTCAACGCCACCAATGGACTTCATACCCCTTACTTCTAGGGTAAAAGCAAAGAAGGAAGATAATTCCTCTGACATATGCTCCTCATCCTCACCTTCCTCACCATTTTCTTTTATGAATGCTTTTAAAAACGTGGAGGAGGTATCCTTCCAGTCCCTGATAAATGAGGGTGATGGTAAACCCATTTCTTTCAAACCAGACACAAACTACAAGTTCAGCACTTTTCTAATGATGCTGAAGGACTTGCATGACACTAGGGAGCGAGAAGGGACCCCCTTAGAACTGGAAATTGGGCCACCAAGTGCACATGTTAAGGAGGAACCCTTAGTGATGCCTGGGGAGGCTACACCTGCAGGCCAAGATCAACAAAATGAACATGTTAATAACAATTCAAATTCAAGTCCAGACAAAATCAAACACAATGAAGACAGCACAAATCAAACATCCAAAAGGCCCTATAACAGAAGGGGAAGCTCTACTGGGGTGAAAAAGAAAGCCCACCGCAAAGTGCCTTGTCGTCCTGCCAGGTCTGGACCTGGTTTCCCAGGACTGGAGTCCTTGCCAGTAATGGATTCTTCATCAGGAGTGGATTGCTCATCAAGAGTCCAGTCCCTGTTGGGCATACAGACTAGCAACTGGGAGAGACAGGCAGGAGGTGGAGATGAAGTGGTTGGTGAGGAGGAGGAGAGGTGGAGCAGAGTAAGTGAGAATCAGAACATGGTGCCTTTGGAGCAGACGGAGTGCGACACTACGCTGTGTCTGGAACAGCCGAATGGCCTGGTTGCAGACTGCGCTGAAACTAACAAAAGCTTGATGCGCAATGCTGGAGAAGATGACAAGGCTCCAACAGGTAAGTCTAGTTTAGGGTCTGTATGCAGAGGGAGATTGCGTGAAGCAAAGATACTTGCATTGAGGTGAAAGGACCAGGTGCATTCCTGTGTTCTAATAACAACTGGAAGTTATTGTAATTTGGCCTACTCTTTCTCAGAGTCATAGTCAAGTCACAGTCAAGTCTTGATGAGTCAGATTCAGATTCAGAAGTCATGATTCAGGTTGACTTACACTTTCTGGAGATATTATTATCTGTGATGTCCATTGGACAATAAATGTCTTTAAATCCGCTTAGAAATCATAGAAATAAACTTACCTGAAAATCATCACGTTGTTAAGTTTTATTCAGTAGTAAATCTAATAATAGCTGTGTGTACATACATGGGTACATTGCAAACAGGAACTGCTAATAGCTAATTCACTAACAAAGACCACACCAATGTGAGGTATAAAAAGGTAGTTTATTCAGATAATGATGAGTATTTATGATGGAGGGGGAGAGGGGAGAGGGATGAAGGGGTCGTGAACGGTGGGATGAAGGGGGTTGTTTAGGCTAGGAACCCGGAGGTCGAGACTCAGGTTGGGGGCTCGTCTCGATAAGCGGCTTGCTTATCAACCCCCTGTGGTTCCTGTAATATAAAATGAACCATTACTTTGGAGGAATTATGGATTTTGGCATGCAAGTATTTGATTGTGGGAGGAAACCAGAGCCCCTGGGGAAACGCACACAAACACGAGGAGAACATGCAAACCACACAGAAAGGCCCGGGCTGACCAAGATCTGAACACAGGACCTTCTTGCCGTGAGGCCACTGTGCTGCCCGTTGAAAGAGGTGATAAACAGTGTTTGGTGGGGTTAGACAGGCTTATAGACATATGTGCAGGTGATTGGATTAGAGATGAAATCAGTGAAGTACGGTTGGTTGGATTGGAGGAATTGAATGAGGCACAGGTGGTTGAATTAGTGAGAGAGGTGTGGTCCTGTTCCTTAACTTTAGTTATGTAAATTCATATTGATGTACTTTTAATGGTGCCAGTTTTCCAAAATGTAAAAACTACATTAAATGTCCTTTTCGCACGGAGGTAGATGGGGGTGGCAGAATGCAGTTGTCCTGTTTTTGTCTGCGCGGGGGCCACAGTGTCAGACTTTGAAAACCCCTGCTGTACAGAAATTGAAGGAGCTCACAACCTGAGTAACAGCAGAAGCGAGTCATATAATAGCAATGGGATGCACCGGGGAGAGTGTATTGCTGTAGTGGTTAGACACATATTTGAACACTTAAAATCACATATGCCTCTGTTCTTTTTGGCAATTGGTTCTATAAATGCTACACACATACCCATTACCCTGTGATTTCCATTACAGAAATGTTTGACCACAGTGTGACATGGATGAACAAAGACCAAGTTGGCTCAATTTCTGTACTGAGTATTTTCTCCATTTTGGGGTGTACTCAGCAAAAAGGAATCACACTCATAGTGCCACGGTTGTACAGATAACGAGCAGACTGGCAAGATTCGACAGCCTAGCATAAGAAAGTGAAAAGCACAGAATGCTGGTAAAACTATGCAACACTTAAGTTAAAGTTAACTGAAATTGGATTTGAATGAAATACTGATTACTTATCTACCGTATATACCATGGCTATGGAAATATGTGTTTCTGAATGACTGATTTCTTAAAATGGTCCAACAGTACATCTCACACAGTTGCATATGAGAGTTTAATCATCACTCTAAATCAGTGGTGGCAAGGTAAACTGCAGGTAACCTAGAAACAGTTAATTTTATTGTTTTTACGTGCTGCACTTAAACTAGACTACATATAAACTTTAACAAATCAACACTACTTTGGTTGCTTGTGGTACGTAGCCATGGTACCAGTGCAATAATTAGGGTTGCCAACTTCTTGAAATGGAAATAAGGGACAGGATACGGGGAGCGTGGGCAAATACGCATTTAACAAATATAACGTGTTTTACAGCTGCATGACTGCCTTATTATTACAGTTACTGTTTCTAAATATATGATATACTTGGTTGTAAGAAGTCCTATTCATATCATATATCTCAGCAAGACATTTTTCCCTTTTCATCGCTGTAAAAAGTTTAAAATTGTCATTGGCAGATGGTGCAGTTGGCCCTATATTGTTGCATTTTAGATAATTTATGGAGTAAGTGGTGGGTCTGGGGGTACACCCCCAGAAAGTTTTGAGCATTAAATATTTAATTTTCTGCATTCTGGTGAAATGTTCTGCACTTTTGGAATAAATTAGCAGTTAAATATAACATAATATAATATAATGGAGTAGGTCTGTAGGCCTATAAGACTTCCAAGCATTCTGTAGCCTACTTCTTTCTTTCATGATTTAGTCTTCCCTCCTCTTTTGTGTCTTTGGTTGGGGAAGTAACCTTTAAACGTGCATTTGGCACCTATTCACATCAATGATAAATTTATTAAGTTTTAATTTAAATATAAACTCCTGTGTTTCAGCAAATGTTCTGCTCATGTTCAAAACTTAATGCACATTCAAAATCTATCCCACACATGATCTGTGTTTTCTGACATGTCAAGAAAAAAGTTGTAATACTACGAGACTAACGTCATAAATTCATAATATTTTTAGACTTCATTTGTCTACCTGCCGTATTCGTTATTGCTCCGCTGGAAGTGGCTATCGTCTTCAGACTCTATAGAACCATCACGTTGAACACCAGTGTTGCATCAGCTGGGTTGAGTAGAATCACACCAACCAAGATTTTATTAATGAAGAATACATGGCTAAAACAACGTTAAAATATAAACGTGCAAGAATTGACAATACCAAATAAATTGAACAATGAGAACAACCCTTTGCTGAATGTCTCTCCCCTCTCTCTCCAATAAATGGCTACCAACATCCCAACAAAACAGGGCTGAGAGATCAATGCAATAAAGTCCATTGACATAGAGCTGTGCAGTTCAGAAAGTCTTTATAATGTGTAGTGAGACATTATACTCAATGAAACACACTATAAACAACAGGAAATAACAAAAGCTAGTGTATTTTCTTATGTATGTTTTTCAGCACATAAACGAATAAGAAAACCGAGTAAGAGGTTGATTGAATGGACCGAAGAGTATGATCAGATTTTCTCCACGAGGAAGAAAACCAAAAAGCCTCTCCAGTTGATTGGAAAGGTAAAAATCATACAAAGTAAGAGCTGTTGTAACTTTATAATGAAATGTTATTAGAAATGCATAATACTATGGCATTAAGCATCCAGTTTCACCTTTTGCGGCCACACATGAAACTTGTATCCCTGGTTGACAGTTAATTCACGTCATTTGTTTTTCTCAGGCCCCTCAGCCCATTACCTCTGTGTCCGAACCCTTGAGATCAGACAAGGATTCACATGACCACCCACCCTTGAACTTACTTCCTAAAATACAGACACCACCTCCTGAGGAAAATGCTGTAACAACACCCTCTGAGCTACAAATTCCCAGCACTGAAAACACATCTCCCCAAGATGCGCCGGTGCTTTCCATCGACACGCTAACCCCTCCTCCTGAAGCGGACCCTTCGCTGTCAGAAGTCCTCGTCAAAGACACCGGTAAGGCAGTGTTTGTGTATCTTTCTTTGCAACTTAACTGCTAAGTTGTCTGGGAAAGCAGTCTTATGTCTGCCAAAGTAAAGTCTTCTTGGTAAATGTAAATACACTACATGGGCAAAAGAATGTGGACACCTAAACAAAGTATGTTGTCATGATCTGGCTCTTGAAATTGTGACAAATGTGGAGACAAACCGTATTAAAAGTGTAAGAAAGTAATTTATTTTTAACAAAGGATAATCAATAAATTTAAGTTGAACGTAAAATCACAGCACGTCATGTGAAAATCAGTAAAGTGAGTGAAAGTATGGTGTATGTGGAGGTGTTGAACTGTAGAAATAAACCAACTGAGAACTCAAAATGGCCTCAGCCACATCTGTGAAAGGGGCCGCCTCTGTGATGACAGGGAAAGAAGAGAGCGAGACACCGCACTTCAGCCAGGCTTAAGTAATCGGCATACACTGCGGCAATCAGGTGCGGCACGATTTACCTAATAAATGTAAGCAAAACAAAATTACATAGCACAGCCCTACCGGGGTCGTCACAATGTAAACACCCAAACATTAAATCCACATGACGTGACTGTTGAACATGTCTTCCCAAAACCTTGGACATTAATCTGCTGCTATTACAGTCTGCACTCCACTTTCAAGAAGATTTTATATGTTGGCTGCAGGGATTTGTTCCCATTTAGCCACAAGAGTATTAATGAGGTTAACAACTGATTGGCTAAAGCCTGGCTTATAGACGGTGTTCCAGTTCATGTCAGAGGTGTTAGATGGGATTGGGGTCGGGGCTCTGACCTTTGAAGGCCAGTGAAGTTCTTCCACACCAAGATGAGAAAACTATTTTTATCCTCCTAACATGTTAAAGCCAGAAAGTTGGAAGCACACAGTTGTTAAAAAAAATTGTATGCTGGAGCATTATTATTTCTATTTATTGGAACTGAGGGGCGAAAACTAAAAACTAAAATCACCCCCAGACTGAAAGTACACAAAAGTATGGGGTGTCCAGATACTTACAGTGATGAAAGAAGTATTCAGATTTTATTTTAAGTAAAAATACAAATACAACAATGTAGTAAGTAGAAGCATTTAAAATTTTACTTAAGTGAAACTATTAGTGGCTAAATTTACTTATAGTAGTATTACTAGTTAGTATTAAATGCAAACTATTTTTTTATGCAGAAAAATGTCCCCTGTGACTACTATTATTTAGTATACCACATTGTTATTGCTGATGCCTCAGTGTAAGCAGCATTTTACAGTTGTAGCTGGACAATGAGAAGCTAGTTTTAAATTCTTTATACACAGGATACAGTTAACTTGTGTAAGTGGTTCACAACCTAGGGGTCGGGCACCTGCAAAGTGTCACAAGATGAATCGGAGGGGTTGTGAGATGATTAACGGAAATGGAAAGAAGAATAAACTACAAGTTCTGCTTCACAAATCTGTTTAAAGCTTTTGGACTTTTCTCTAAACTTTTTGTATTTTTGTGAAATATTGGATAATTTTACCATCTTTGGGCCTCAAACAGGTCTTCAGTGAAACCATCTGAGATGTTTAGAGGTGATTCACTTTTAGGTGTAACTAGATATCCGCCCCCAAAGACACTGCTTTTTTGTAAGGGGGTTCAGGGTAATGAAAAGAACTATGCATTGAGTATTTTTATGTGAAATTTAATTATTAGGAAAAGCTCCAGTGCTGGGGAAGAAGCGGAAGAGGAAACCTACTCAGAAGATCCTGGAGTACTGTCTGGAGGCAGAGGCCTCAACAGGCCCCAAGAAGAAGGTACAACATGGACATGTTCTGTTGTGTGTACTTTTACAGTACTTGTGTGTGGTGTATCTGAGTGTGAGTGTGTATTTATACTCTCAGGTCCCAGTTTATTAAGTATGCAATCCAATGCACTAGCTTTGCAATAAATACATCAATTTTGAGCCTCCCAAATGACCATAGAATTTAAACCCACGTACAAAACTCAACATTTTAAGCTTCACAAAGACAGTATTTATTTTAGCCAAATGCACCCACGTGCTGGCCAACCTTCGGGAGCGATTTGGTGTTCAGCCAGCGCCTTGGCCAAGGACACTTTGACATGTGGGCAGGCCCATAAGCTGGAGTGAAGCAGAGATGGTTCTTAAATGTTGGATAAATTTGCTGTTAGTAATTAATTCTGCCTATAAGCAAGTTCCACACCATGGACAAAAGGAAAGAGAATATATGAAAACAGAACTTTATCAAAAATGATTTTTTTGTAAGATAGATTTTATTATCCGGTCTACACGTTTTGAGAAATGGGGTTTCAGGTCTTTCTGGATCTAATTAATAAACGACTGACCACAGAACAAAATAATACAGTTCAGTCTAAACATGAAAAAAACATGAAAACCCAGTACAAGACAAAGAATAGCATGTTGTACAGATGTAATATGTAGTCTTGCCTACACAGACCCTCTGTGAAGATGGTAAATGGACCGTACCTGTATTGCGCCTTTCTAGTCTTCCAACCCCTCAAAGCACTTTGCGTTATATTCTTATACCTGCGTTGCTGTTGTTAATGTTCATACCACTCACATCTACCCTTTTCTGTTAATTGATATAAACCTCTTTATACTGTTCACATATATAACTCTATATAACATTGTGCTCTGATAATAAACTCAAATGTAAAGTGATTTCACTGGGGATTGAACCCAGGAGGAGCGGTGCTATTCATGATCAGTGAAGATGAGAGACAACAAGAAAAACTTGCATTAATTTTATTTTATTTAACAAGATCTTAAGTTAGAAAGTTACAGAAGGATTTTTTTATGTTGTCAGTTTGATGGGAATAGTTTTTGATTCTCTTTCCACAGGTCAAACCACTGAAGACCAATTCAAATTCTGCTGCTCAATCAGGTCAGTGAATCCTCTTACAACAATGTATATTATACTTTCTATGCATTATTATTATTGTTTAATTTTTTACTTCTGTAAAAAAAAGTAATTTCTCTTGTTTCCAGACTTGGAAAGTGAAGTAAATAAAGCATGTGTCCCAAATTTAGCAAATGAAAGAAAAGGCCTTGAATTTCCGGACAACACAAATTACTGTGTTTCTCAAAAGAAAACTATAATTTAACATGAACCAGAATCTAAATTAGAATTAAACAGTTCTAGATGGACATTTTCTTGGTGCTTTGTGACTTAAATAAATAGTAAATTAATCTCACAAACCTCCTTCTAACACATCTTTCTTACTCCCAGATTCTGGGCCACCATCTTTGAAATCAAAGAGTAAGCAGCTCACAGCATCCAGCGCCACACCGACAACCACAGAGACTTCAACCTGTACGCCCACACTGTCTGTACAGACAGGTCCCCCTCCCAGCATTCCTACTCCCGCCTCTCCAGCGCTGGCCCCACCCGAACCCGTCCGGGTGGAGACTGCATCGGTAGAGGTCGATGCTCTTCAAACAGAGGACAGTAAGGCTCAAGAGGTCAAAAAGGACACAGCAGAGTCAGAGGTCAGCCATCTTTACTTTTGTAACTGTTAGTTACATTAAAGTAAGTGAGTTAGTGATTTAGAGTTGAAAGTAGGAGGAAATCAGTCTTTAACTGACACATACTTGGCCCTACTTTTAGAACTGCAAGTAAAAGCCTTTTATCAACTTTTATCAGTTAATCCTATATTTGCCAATATTTAGGAGCTTGAGTGGTGTCCTAACGAGAAGATGGAATTCAAACAAAGATAAAGCACATATACTGTGGCAAGACATGTTGATGATGATGATCTTATGAAAAGATATTTGAAGTTTTGAAGAAGAAAAAGTTTTTTTATTGATATGAAAAAGACAGCGGGGAAATGCAGATTTGAAACTGTGATGTTTCTCTTACAGCCAAACTTCTTCTACAGCCCTTCAGATTATGTGAAATTATGTGGATTATGTGCAAAAAATTTCCCCACAAGCAAGCTGCTAATAAACAAGCTGGGGTTATTTTTCTTAAATAAGTAATTAATGAATTTTTATAAATATACCAATAGTGGAGCTATATTTAAGACATATGTGATATTCATATTGTTACAGTGGATTTCCCAACACTGTGTGATATTACACAAACAGTGTATTTTCTCCATCTATAAGTATGAATAACTTTGCAGGAGGTGTAGTTGAAAGGTAAGATGGACAGTGGAATAGAGTAGATAGATTCTATGTTTTCTTTGAAAATATGCCCAAAGCCCTGATTGCAACATCAACTCTGCATTTGAAATAATGCACTTAATAATGCATATGGTGCTTTTATAGATTATGCCACACAGCTGAATCAAATTATCTACTATTTAAAATTATATACATTTGTTTTTAAAGCCACACAAGTCTTTCCAGTGTTTACTTACTGTCTATTGTGAATGACTTTTTGGTAAATATAATGAGTTCAATATTTATTAATTTTGGCGTCATATTGTTGAATATAAATCCTAGATTGCTTAGTCACGCATAATATTTTTCTATACACATAAAGCTTTTTTTCTGGATTTCACATCTTTTCATTGTCTAATATTTCAAACAGCAGCTGTCAGTCTATCTGTTTTTTTAATGTACATCTTTTACCATGGTGTTTTAATCGTGTGAACGTAAAGTAAAATGTTTTTTTAATAAATCTAAGACAGTTAGGTGTTTTTAGGTTGAGGTTTTTAGGTAGAGCAGTTTCTTGGAGTGCATGTGAGACATAAATAAGGGCCCTGATTGGTTGTTACATGAATTTTTCCTTTTTCTCTCTCAAAGGGTGAACTGTCCAGCTTGGATCACAGCTTCTCCTCCATAAAGGACGACTTGTCGCTGTGTGACGACCCACTTTTACCCTCGAGGAAGATCATAGGGGACCGAGGAGGCCCTGCCTCCATGAAGGAGAACATATGTCAGGTGAGTTTTCCCCGAGGCCCAGTACTGATTGTTATGCCCCGTCTGGAGGTGATCGAGACACAACACGAAAACGCTCCATTTTCTCCAAGGCTCAAGCAGCCAGAGAGACAGATTGCTTACTATGCTGACAGCTTAATTTATTTACAAATTGAGATGAAAAAATACACGGTGCTTGATTTAACTTGAGGGTAGGCAAAGGCCAATAAAACCAAAGAAACCAAATTACATTAACTTACCTCCCTAACAAAAATAAACAAGGTTAACAAAAACAGGTCAGCATGCCCCTAATAGCTCCAAAAGAACAAAAGCCATCAGGCTAAATGTGAGGCAATGGGTGATTGGTGAGGATGGAGATGAATGTTCCCCCCTGCCATGCAATGACGCCATCTTGGCTCCATATATAGCGTGTTGTCATCACTCGCCCTCAACTCACCCGTGTCATGCTTATTTTTATGTTGCTCTGCAACAACGAAACTGATGGAAAAGGTCTTAAGAGCTTTGTCCTCTCCAATTTTTCAGAAGCTTCCTGAGAAAAGTTCTCACTTTCCTCTGAGCCTTATTTTCTGGAAGACATTTCAGCATGTATTTTAGCAGTGATGGAGTTTATCTTTAGGAGAGGGAACTGCTGGTGACTCTGTCTAATTCATTCCTCATGAACTTTTGAAATAGCCTATATGTTGTTTGTTTGTACAGCTGCAGTGTTGCAGGCTGCCTTCGTGTATAAAGTACTGGGCATTTCATTAATACAGAGTATTGATATTTATTAATAGCTAATATTTACTGATGTTGCTGTATATTTTATTTCTGTGGAAAGAATTGCTGCAATGAGGTTTGGTTTGGTTTTCCCATTGTAACTAGATATTTATCATGTTATAATGAGCAAATTATTATTTTCTTGTGATAAGAATGTATCGCTTAATATTACAGAACTTTCGATTTATTTCTAACAAGAAAGCTTTCTTTGGTATGTAACAAGAAAAAGATCCAGTCAATGCCAAAGAGACATTGTAGCCCAGAGCAGTCATATAATTATTGATGTAGACACGTGGCTGGGTATTTTTATGTATTACGTCAGGGGTTATTATGGGTAGTTATTGTGTGTGAATTTGGTGTCAGATTAGATCGTTACTGGTGTTGGCTGCTGGATATGATCTGACACCTCCCACCGCCCCTGCTTGGACCCGAGTCTGAAGTTTATACACAGTTTTTAATCTGTGTTCAGGTATATGTGAGCTGTGATTGTCTCCGGTCACCCACACCCACAGGATAAACAGGTTTAGATTGACACAATAAAAAAAACTGTCAATTTTTCTAACCAAAGCAGGCTGTGTCTTCTCTTTAAGCATTGACTGCATCTTCTTCTCATTTTAACACTTCTTGTAATGACAACACACTGGGGGAATATTTGCTCTCAACCTTCCCTTGTGTCGCCTTTTTCCATCTCTGCTGCTAGTGTCTCCTTGTGTAGCAGGGCCCAATTGTGATGGCTAGATGACTCAGAGCAAACGGTCTGCAGTGGTTAGTACCTATCAAAAGTGGTCCAAGGAAGGAGAAGCTGTGAACCGGCAACAGGGTCATGGATAGCCAAGGCTCACTGATGCATGTGGGAAGCACAGGCTGGCCCGTGTGGTCCGGACAGCTTGCCTGACTGTTGGTCAAATTGCTGAAAAAGTCAATGCTGGTTCTGATAGAAAGATGTCAGAACACACAGTGGAGTCCAGGCCATGACGGGTCAGGGTTGTTTTGGTAGCAAAAAGGAAAAAGGGAGACCTACATTATCACCATCATAATGTTATGGCTGATTGGTGTATGTACACAAGAAAATTTATCCTCTTCACCTGAGCGTCTAAACAAGAGTACACTTGTTATACTTATATAAAGTATATATACTTGATATATATGAGCCTATACAACGGGTATGACATCAAATTCCATTGCACAGATCCGTATCACTCTGCGACAAACAGGGTTCGAGTTATAATCTGAGCTTCGTGGTGGTCTCACGCCCCATTTACACCTGATATTAAAATGCGATTTGATGCAGATCGCATTTTACCGGCGGAGATAAATAAATAAATAATGAGAGTGAGAGAAAGACAGAGGCAGAACAACAAACGGCAACGTGCAAATAGATATAAATAAATAGTTATAATAATTCTATCCTTTGATGTATTTTGCTTAGCAAACGTCATGCGCTATGTAGCCTACCGGCAGCCTGGTGGAACTACTTTTTGTATTCATAAAGAAATGTGTTTCAAATTGGAGTGCTTCTGTTCGCCTACTTTATTTTTTGCCATGCTTGGTAAACTTTTTATAAAAGCAATAGCTCACTTCAGGCCGTGGTATACGCTTATTATATTACAGTTAAGGGGGTTGGTGAACAACAGCCCTTAACTGTGATATAATAAGCGTATACCACGGCCTGTCGTGAGCTATTGCTTGATTATACTATACTTGTTCATTGTCTCGGTATAACTAATGATATCATTTTAAATCAATAAGTCAAAGTGGGTTGAAGCACAATTAAAACACTTCTACGGTTTGTAGTAAAAAGAGTACAGCTGGGAGAGGAAAATTCTGAGAACAGCTTTTTGCAAAACATGTTTCAACAGTTTTCATCGGGGCCATCTGCCCCTACTAAAAATCAATTCATTAAATTGGTGGATGTTTCGTTCCAGTGGCTTACAGCATCCTAAGTACATATTGTAAGTCTGTAGATCCCAACTGAAAATACAGCAACTGCAAATGAAATTTAAACCCAACACACAGGACCACTTTGACAGCTACTTTGAATCTCTCTTATTATATTATATCTCCTAAGGAAGGTTGTGTTTTTTGTCCCAGGTGTGTGAGAAGACTGGGGAGCTGCTGCTCTGTGAAGGGCAGTGCTGTGGAGCCTTCCACCTGCCCTGCATCTCTCTGGCCGAGGCCCCTAAAGGGAAGTTTATCTGTCCGGAGTGCAAATCAGGTATGTCTGTGTTTACAGGAATTCCCTGTGGTAAAGATCTGAATTGTAAAAGTAAGTCAAATTAATTATATAAATAGATGTATTAAAACACATAAACTGTGGCAGTTTTGGGGGGAGCCAACACGGGCCAGTGCTCCTGTAACACAGACCATGGACCCCCCTATGGCCCTAAAAGTCAACAATAATCGGATCCTTTAGGACGTTACACTGCCACTGTCCGGTGCAGTGCCATGGTAGCTGGTTATCCCTGATAGAAAGTGTTGTGAATGCACGAGCGCTGCCCCTGCTGCGGGAGCACGCGTGCATTCAACGGTGAAGGCGGACTTTCGACTTCACCAAAGCAAAGTACTGATTAAGGGCGCTCCGATCGATCGGTCACCGATCATAATCGGCCGATAATGGCTTTAACTAGTTCGATCGGTGGTCGCTAAAAAGGCCGATAAGAAAAGCCGATCAGATGATGCAATACTTGCCAGACACATTTTCAACGGCAGCTAAAATGTTTCACTATGTGAGCGGTTTTCAAAGCTAGCTAGCACCAAAGTCCTTCTCAGACAAGAAGGGATAAATGCGCCCATGTAATCATTTACAATTAGAGTTGAGCAAAATTCAGACAAGTGGAGCAAAACGCAGGAGCGATCATGTGAAACTGTCGCAGCTGTGCTCATCTCACTCCCGCAACCGGAGTTTAACAGACTCATCAGGCAGAGAGAGAGAGAGACTGATCCTTCAGTGTGAGTTTCCTGATGCAAAGAGCGGCGCCACTCGATCAGCTGACTGCATCTCTCTCTCTGTTTTCGTTACAAAAAAACGGAGACCTTTTGCTACATTTCTGCCTCCCGTCCAGATTAAAACGGTGAATCAGAAGATGTTTGTTTGAAAACGCTGCGGACCCAGTGGATAAAACAGAGGACTTTTTTTTTTTGTGCATGTTGCTGTATTTACTTTGCGACAACTCCCAGTCTGTTTTCCGCCGCCATCTCTGGTACTCCCGTGTTTCCAGTTCCACTTCGTTGTCGGTCAATACAAAAAAAAAACAAGAAAAAAGCCTGGTGTGGTTCTTGGTCTGTATTAATTTCTTCTTTTGCTAAATCGTCTGCTACTGTGGAGTAGACCATCTGCTTCATGTTTACACTGGCACGCGCATGCCCAGAGTAGCTACCTGAACGGCCACTAGATGTGTTTTCAGTCCTTCTAATATAGACAGAGATCAACTCTGACACGCAGCTGAAACGCTGCTGTGGACGGAGAAGATCGGTTTCGTTATGAAACGGTTTTAAAAACGTAGCAGTGTGGATGTAGCCTCACATTACCCAACTCCTCTCTCTACTCCTCTCATGCCAACCCTCCCGTTTTCCCCGTAAATCTCCCGTATTTTTAACCTTTATAAAGTAAAATAAAAACCTTCTGGCCGTATTTAAAGTGTTTGCTACTCTCCCTCTGGTAAAGTCGGTGGCAGCATGTAAGATATGTAGACTGTGCTTCCTGCACAAGGATTAAAAATTAAAACAATCCACTGAAATGATATAAGGCCTATAGCCTACTAATGGCAAACCATGTGAAAATATAATGAATATAGTAGCCTATGTAATATTAACAATTGACTGTATAATATGGAATTTACATTGTAGCCTATTTTTATTTATTTAAATTTTCCTTATTTTCAAATCTCATTGAAGGCAGTTTTGACTCCTCTCTGTAGTCCTTCTCCCTCTCTCTGCTCCTCCCTCCACTCCTCTCTCTCTCCTAAAGCCCACAGAACCTGCCTGAGCTTTCCAGAACAAAAAGCAGCTACTTCAGAGTTTATCATCAACTCATGATGCCTGTGCTCCTTTATCTCCTAAATATTTTGGCTGCAGCCTTTTTTGTTGCAGTTTTTGTCGCCCTGTCCCCCTACAATTGTAGTCATGAAGTCCTTTGAAAGACTGGTGTTGGCCCACCTGAAGGACATTACAGGCCCCTCGTGGACCCCCTGCAGTTTGCCTACAGGGCTAATAGGTCAGTGGATGATGCTGTCAACTTGGGTCTGCATCACATCCTGCAACACCTCGACTCTCCAGGGACATATGCTAGGATCCTGTTCGTGGACTTCAGCTCGGCGTTCAACACCATCATCCTGGACATCCTCAGCACCAAACTCACCCAGCTCACTGTGCCAGCCTCCACCTGTCAGTGGATCACAGACTTCCTGACTGACAGGAGTCAGCCGGTGAGGCTGGGAAACATCACATCCAGCACCCGGACTATCAGCACTGGCGCCCCCCAGGGGTGTGTGCTCTCCCCACTGCTCTTCTCCCTCTACACCAACGACTGCACCTCAGGGGACCCATCTGTCAAACTCCTGAAGTTCGCTGACGACACAGCGGTCATTGGCCTCATCCGGGACGGTGACAAGTCGGCCTACAGACGGGAGGTTGATCAGCTGGCTCTCTGGTGCGGTCAGAACAACCTTGAGCTTAACATTCTCAAAACTGTGGAGATGACCGTGGACTTCAGGAGGAGCCCCCCCCCACTCTGACCCCCCATCACCATACTCAACAGCCCTGTGTCTGTTGTGGAATCCTTCAGGTTTCTGGGTTCCACTATTTCCCAGGACCTGAAGTGGGAGCCCAACACTGACACGGTCATCAAGAAGGCCCAGCAGAGGATGTACTTCCTGCGTCAGCTCAGGAAGCTCAACCTGCCTAAGGCGCTGCTGATCCACTTCTACACAGCCATCATCCAGTCTGTCCTCTGCACCTCCATCACTGTCTGGTTTGGATCTGCCACCAAAAAGGACAGGAGCAGACTACAACGGACAGTCAGGACTGCAGAAAAAATAATCGGTGCCAACCTGCCCTCCATTCAGGACTTATACATTTCCAGAGTCAGGAAACGGGCAGGAAACATCACTGCAGATCCATCTCACCCCGGACACAACCTGTTCCAGCTCCTCCCCTCTGGTAGGCGCTACAGAGCACTGTTGCCAAAACCAACAGACTCAGGAACAGTTTCTTCCCACAAGCCATCACTCTGATGAACAGCTGATTTCTGACTCACGGTGTCAGGAACAATTCCTGTGCAATAACCCAGTAACTCTGTCTCTAATCAGCCACCTGTTTACTGGTTTCCACTTATTATGTATTTATTCACCATTCTCTGTTTCAGTGCTGTTCATACTATGTCATATTGTATATACTGTATACCAATACACCTACCTCAGGTCATAAGGTCATAGGTCTTATTTATTTTTTCCAGCATTATTTGCACTATGCTCCATCACACTGTGTACACACTGTGTACATGTGTACATGTATGCATGTATGTGTATCTGTATATCATATCTACCTTCAACATGTACATAATGAGAATAATAGTTTACTCTTGCATCCTTTGCACTCTGATCACTGCACTATTTGTCAATATGTCTATATTGTTTTGTTTTCATAGTGTGTATATTAGTGTTGTCTACTCTGTAGTTTGTGTCTGATTTTATTTTATTATTATTTTATTATTGTATAAGTAAGCACATCGTGAGCAATGTACAATCCTGAGTCAAATTCCTCGTATGTGTACACATACCTGTCAATAAAACTGATTCTGATTCTGATTTTTATGGTTGTAGTACATTTATACAGATGCTGTTTGTTCTGTTTTTGTAGTTTATTCCACAATAAAGCTCTATTTGTTAAGCTATAAGATGTTCACAGTAACCAGGCAAAGGCTCCAAATAGACCCGGTGATCGGTGTTTTTGATCGTATCGGCCGATGCTGCTTTCGGCAATCAGTGATCGGCACAAAAAATCCTGATCTGAGCACCTCTAAGTACTGATACTTATACTGTTAATTAAGCCGTACAAAGAAGTGTTGCATCAAAGAATGGACTGTAACTTGAGCTAAAGTTAACAGGAATGGTTTGGGAGCACATTTTTGTTCCGCCATCACTTTTTGTAAAACTGTCAATATTCAAAATCTACACAGTTGATTTCTCACCTCAAAACTTCTCAGAAGTGGATTTAGTGATGAAATTACATACGAAAACTGTAAAATATTAAACTTTCTGTCGCTGGCCTCTGTCTGGCACGCGCAATGATGATGCAGTGAATAGTGACGATTCTCTCTGACCAATCAGTAGTCTGCTGTGTTTTCACGTCACATTTTAGTATCGCCTCAGCTCGAAAAAAGTACCTGGAAGCAGGTACAGGTACAACTTTTCCGCAATGGAAAACCAAACAAAGGCGAGTCAAGTCGAGCTGGTACTGTGCAGTGGAAAAGGAGCTTTATATAATAAACAAGACATTTTGAAAGCTTGAACATTGCCTTTGTCTCTTTTGTCCCGGATTCAATGTGCCCCTCTGACAAAACAACTGGCCCAAGCCTGGCCCCCTTAACAAAACTGATCTAGTACCGCCACTGCACATAAATGCCAATCAGAGAGCATCAGCATCCATCTAATTGTAAACAAAAGCTCCAACTCCATTAATTGTAAATAGGAATTGTACAGTACAGTAACATTACCTGATGAAGGTCTGAGGACTGAAAAATCGTCAGTAAAGTGAGTACAATTGATTGACAACATACAGGATTTAAAGAAAATTCTTTCCCCCTTTTCTTTTTTTGAAAAATTGAATAATTTAAAGATTAATGTAAAAAGGTTTACTGTTAGATTTGTCGTAATATTTTTGACATTTTGTCTTTTGAATTGTTGGATTGACTTGTGAAAAATGTTAAAATTTTTGGTGAAGCCACAAGTGGAAAATTGGGGAAATAAATATTTAAAAAATTTAAAAATAGATAAAATAAAAAATATATCTAACGAACAAAAAATACATTTATATACTCTCTCAGACCTTTTCTTGAAAACATTGAGCCTGTTATTGGACAGCATTAACAATAGATAGAGATTATGAACTTCTTGAATCACACTCAACACGTATGCTCTCTATACCTGTCTGATAAAACAGTATATCAGTGTATGCACATTATCAATCTTTTTTAAGCCTACTACATTTGGGTGTCTAACTGTTACAAATATTGTATTTCTGTTGTAATGGATCTCTAAATAAAAAATCATCTGATTGACGTTAACATGCACCACTTAAGGTACAAAAAGTGATAATTTATACTTTTTTTCCTCCCAGGCATCCACACCTGCTTTGTATGTAAAAAACGTAGTGAGGACGTGCGGCGCTGTATGATTCCTGTGTGCGGGAAGTTTTACCACGGGGAGTGTATCGCCAACTTCGCGCCGACTGCACCTGTGAACCGAGGCTTCCGCTGCTCGATTCACGTCTGTCTCACCTGCTTCATCACCAATCCCAACAGCTCGTCCATCTCTAAAGGTAAACCAGAGGACACTCAGATGGAATCACCTGTGTTTTTGTGCACCTTCCATGCTCTGACTGTGCACGTGTTCTCTTGTGTTTTGTCAGTAGGTCGCCTGGTTAGGTGTGTGCGCTGCCCAGTGGCCTATCATGCGACAGACCTCTGCATGGCAGCAGGCTGTGTTGTCCTGTCCAACAACAGCATCATCTGCCCCAACCACTTCACCCCCCGCCGCGGCGTCAAGAACCACGAACACGTCAACGTCAGCTGGTGCTTCGTCTGCACCGAAGGTACAGCTTTAGGAGTCATTTCAGCTTGACCAGCCAGGCCAGATTTATTCAATCCCCAAGGGGTCGAACTGAACAGCTAATAAACTTTCAGCCTGAATCTCATCCAAAGATTCCACATTTTTGGGAAAAATACGAATACTAATTCGCTTTCTTGACAAATGTGATATGAGTGAACTGATAGCAGTATTATGTAGTGTTGTAGTCAAGGCCGCCCAAACCAAGACCAAGTCAAGACCAAGATCAGAGTTTATGGAGACTGAGACAAGACCAAGACTTTTAGGGGCTGAGATCAAGTCGAAACCAAGACCGAGGGAGGGCGAGACCGAGTCAAGACCAAAACCAGTTCCCCACATTACTTGACACACAATAAAATGTGGAATGAGATCATAGGTACTTCTCAAATTGATCTGAAAGATCCATATTCCCATTAAAACACCCATATCCAAACACTAAGAGCTGAAATCAACGTAAGCATCACAATCGCCGGGAGGGGTGACTGTCGTTAACGGTAACAACACATTTTAATTAGCATTATTGGTTGCATTTGAAGCAATATGTTTTACATCCACTCAAAGTTTGGATGTTAACAAATAAATCCGACAATGCAAAAGCAATTTATTGATATTCCCAAAGTTATGATCTTGATTGGTCTTGAAATAAAATCCCGAGTCCTCAGTGTCCGAGACCAAGACAAGACCGAGTACAAATGCCGTTGAGTCCAAGACGAGACCAAGGCCATCAAAAAGTGGTCTTAAGACCGGTCTTGAGTACTACAACACTAGTATTGTGTCTATATGGTAAATATGAAACAGCTGGCTAACTTTGCTTTGCTTAGCAGGAGCAGGAACTAGTTGCCTGACAACCAGTGGAGACTCCATGAATTTATGGGTCCCAATTTTTGCACTTTGGTTTTTGTACGATTAAATAAACGAGATATAACAAGTTAATTTGTAAGCTTTATAGATGTTGGTAGAAAGATTTTGTGACTTTTAGACCGAGCCAGAGTAGCTATTTCCCCATTTTCCCTCTTTGAGCTAAGCTAACATCTCACCTAACTCTCGGAAAGCCAGTGAGTGTATTTCCAAAATGTCAAACTGTATTTTTAATGTTAAAACTCAGTATCTATTGTTACTTGTATATGTCTTGCTGTATTGAGACTCTGTTGATGCTTGTATGTTGTTCCTCAAATGTAAGCCGCTTTGGAAAAGAGCATCTGCCAAATGAGTAAATTTAAATGTGAAACTTTCTTGCACACCGTAATGTCTGATTCAGTACAGCCTTCACATGCACACATGAATAATCAACAGTTAGAACAATGCTGTTCCTCCTCCTGTGCTCCAGGGGGCAGTCTGCTGTGCTGTGAGTCCTGTCCTGCTGCGTTCCATCGGGAGTGTCTGAACATGGAAATGCCTAAAGGTAGCTGGTACTGCAACGACTGCAAGGCTGGGAAGAAACCTCGCTACAAGGACATCCTCTGGGTGAAGGTTGGGCGGTACAGGTCAGTGGCGAGCTGGAGACACTGTTCCTCTCTAATCTATTGCAGCATATTGCTGCCACTAAAAAAACAACCTCTACAGATGGATTACGTGGGTTAAACAGATCTCTGAAACTATTCTGTCACTCACAAAACATTAACACTGTCCAAGCTCTTCCAAACCTTCAACACAGACACAGCTGTGGTAGAGACAGATGCAATATCACTCCTGTACAATAAACACCTCATATTAAATCATTAATCTGCCACTGTTGTGCAGTTCTATTCCCGTTGTGTTTTATCCTTAAATGTTCAGTGTGTAATATTTAGGAGGATCTATTGACAGAAATGCAACATAATATCCATAACCATGTTTTCAGTGGCGGATAAAGACCTTACATAATGAACCGTTACGTGTTATTATCTTAAACTGAGCCATTTCTATCTACACACAACGCGGAGCCCCTTACACGTACGTCGCCAAGTATTTTGTTCAAGGAGCAAGTGAATGCAAAGTGAGCCGTTGGTTGCAATTCGCAACCCTCTCCACTACATGTCACTAAAACTTACACACTGAACCTTTAAAGGTGGTGGCCAGCAGAGGTCAGCCATCCCAAAACGATCCCAGAGAACATCCAGCGGATGAGGCACGATGTCGGAGAGTTTCCTGTTCACTTCTTTGGCTCCAACGACTACCTGTGGACCTACCAGGCCCGAGTCTTCCCTTATATGGATGTGGACGCCAACAGCAAAGAAAAGATGGGGAAAGGTGTTGATGCCACCTATAAGAAAGGTAACCAGCGTGTTTAGCTTCTTCCACACATCCAGTGAAAGTCATTGGTTGGCGTCTTTAATTGAATTTTTCTCTTTTATTGTATCTATGTGTTTCATTATGTTGTTGTTTGAACCTGTTATGATGACTTGACATTGCTGAGTCTCTGACTGTTGATCTCCCTCCTCAGCTTTGGAGGAGGCGGCCGTGCGATTTCGTGAGCTGCAGGCAGAGAAGGAGCTTCGGCAGCTTCAAGAGGACAGGAAGAACGACAGGAAGCCTCCCCCATACAAACATATTAAGGTCTAAATTCATGTCTTTGTGTAGTCCAAAATGCTTCATCCTCCAGGTTTCTTCAAACATGAAGCAGGGGTGTCTGTTTTAGTTACAAAATTTGATCTTGAGCGTCCCATTTAGCTTTAAGAATACATGGCTGAGTTTTACCTTATAATCCCAGTTTGCTGCAGTTATACTGGTGAGCCTCAACTTTCTTTAAGTCCCACATTTTGAGACTGCAGTCCTCTCATGTATTCAATGAAACTAATTAATCATTCTAACGTAACTACTAAAATTCTCTCTATATATTTAATTATATTAAGCATTGATATAGTGTTGGGTGGCACGGTGGTAATGTGGTTAGCATTATTGCCTCACAGCAAGAAGGTTGTGGGTTCAAGCCCCAACCTGTGTGTCTCTGTGTGGAGTTTGCATGTTCTCCCTGTGGGTGCTCTGGCTTCCTCCCACCGTCCAAAGACATGTGGACTAGGTTGATTGGTGGCCCTGAAAGGGAAGGCTGGAAGACATCTATTGTGAAAAGTCCATTCCTCGTTTTTTTGCTGTTGTGTTTTTGGTTCTGGTAAAAGGAGAAGAGTGGTGACTGTAACACAAGCTGTGGAAATGTACATTATACCAATTTTAATAAGAAAACAGGTAAATATGGAGGACGTTTTGAGTTTGCAGGGAAACAAGAATAAAGGTCTGTCTCTAATAAAAACTTGTTCCACATTAAGGCTTGGTCACTATTTTAGACTATGTTCATTTATTAATTATTATTATCCTTATTCTGGTACTGTGCATTGATATACTTAAAGCAAAACGATGAAACACCATGCTAAATAATACAAAAGCTCTGGTTTGATATATTGATAGATTTAAAGCTAATTGACATATCATCTCACTCAGAAACACAGCCATTATGTGATCAGAAATATAATCCTCACATAGAGGGTTAATGTTTCCTTCCACCTTTCTGACTCATTCAGGTGAATCGACCAATAGGAAAGGTTCAGATCTTTACGGCCGACCTTTCGGAGATCCCGCGCTGTAACTGTAAGGCGACAGATGAGAGCCCGTGTGGGATGGACTCAGAGTGTATCAACCGCATGCTGCTGTATGAATGCCACCCGCAGGTACAGAAATTCCTCCATCACACTCACAAAATGGTTTATTAGAGACATTTTATAGATTTATAGATGTGTTGTTGTTACGTACAACTCAAAACTAAATGTAAGAACTGTATGGAGAAGGAAAAACTACTTTGTGTTTTCTCCTACGACTATTTTTATATTTTATATTATCTTTTGGGAAAGTGTAATCTGCACAAATATTTTTGTATAAATAATGGTAATCTGCACTACATCAAATCTTTACTTTATTTTCAGATGTTTGTTTTATTAAGCCTTTCTCAAGAAAAGCAACATTAGCATTCATTTGGAGTCTTATTTCTGCCCATCTGATGAATCGAAGTCCAATATTCATTCTCCTTTTAGCTCTGTTTTGGTCTCCACCAACGCCTGAAGGAAACATCTGGCTCTTTAGCTGCGTAATGCTCCACTATGTTCACCAGCTAGTCGCAAACTGTGTCTGTCTGTAGAGCTTTATCCTGAAAACGATGCTATGAAAGCGGTGAAAGTGAACCAACGCAGTGAAGTTGTGGGGCGTGAAAATCAAAACAATGAGCTCAAATACGGTGAAATGTGTGAAAATTCTGTGTGGGTCGTTAACAGCTTCCTTGGCTCTTGTAATACAGAGATCACAGTGTGTTGTGGTACAGCAGTGTGGAAAGTATCCCTGTCGTGATATCTGGCTGATATATTTCCTACGTTGTAAAAAAAAACTTGCAGGTTTGCCCGGCCGGTGAGCGGTGCCTCAACCAGGCGTTCACCAAGCGTCAGTACAGCCAGGTGGAAATCTTCAGGACGCTGTCTCGAGGCTGGGGGCTACGCTGTGTCCACGACATCAAGAAGGTAACTACGCTGCTGTCATTAATAGTACTGCTGCTACTGACTGCTGCTACTGGTACACATACTTCTACTGTACTTCATGAACCACTGCAGCATTGCCATCAGGAGGTTTAAGCTGCTAAATAATTAATGTTTTTCCCACAGGGTCAGTTTGTGAGTGAGTACGTCGGAGAGGTGATTGACGAGGAGGAGTGCAGGTCCAGGATCAGACACGCTCAGGAGAACGACATCTGTAACTTCTACATGCTAACTCTGGACAAGGTACAGCTCAGAGCCAGAGGGTGTGTGTTCAAGAGTTCAAGAGCTACTGTGTATAATTAGACTCAATCCAAAATGCGGTCAACCCAAAACAAGCCTTCCCGACTGAATAGAATTTGGACCTCACTCAGGTCTTAATTTAAATGCAGAGAGAGTCTCATTAAAGTTGTTATTTTAAGGGAACACCCCCGTAGCTTAGGGATGCCAACCGTGGTAAGGCCGCTCGAGACCTTTGTTACATCTCTTACATCTCTCTTTCCATTCATTTGTTGTGCAAAAATGCTCTAAAAATACTTCATATATTTACATTTTTAAGCATTATTCCATAGTTGTGGCGCAGTTTGTTCAATTTCACTAGAAACATTTCTGAGACGTCTGCTCTCCACCAAAATACCAACAACTTTCCTTGTTCTTCCTCAGTTGAATGAAACCCCCACCTGCGCACCTTTCACGCTGCACCATGCATGAAATTATCAGACAGGCAGGCCTCTAAATGTAGCAGCGGCATGAAAATAGAGCCCTTAAAATGTAGTACTGTTGAACACCAAGAAGATTAATCTTTGTTTCAGACAAGTCGAACTGTCTGTTAGATTTTCTCATTACTGCACGTGTGTGTGTGTTAGGACCGAATCATCGATGCTGGACCGAAGGGGAACGAGGCTCGCTTCATGAACCACTGCTGCCAGCCGAACTGTGAGACGCAGAAGTGGACGGTGAGTGGAGACACCCGGGTGGGACTGTTCGCTCTCGTCGACGTCGCTGCAGGTAAAATAACCAGTTTGTTAAATTATCAACTTTGACCATTCAGTTTTTGACATCTGTTTCCATGAAATCAACCGGATTATTTAATACAGGCAAAAAACATGAAACATGTTAAATTCACTTTGGTTCACAAGGAAAAATTACTAGTTTTAGTTGTTCAGACATGTAACGAGGTGTTCTTATGTGGAGACAAATTGACAAATTTCTAAATATTAAAAACAGTTTTTAGTTTATCATTATGCATATTGTGTGTGGATTAAAACAATACTCACATGCTGATATGTAGATTGAAAGAGTTGTTGATCACTGTAATTGTTCCTCCTGTTTATATTGGCTGTGAAGTGATCCTTTCCTCTTGCAGTTTCAAGTTATGGTAAAAATGTATCCTGAAGCAGGTTTTTCGACCATCCTGTCGAAACGCTCAACTCTAACCCTACCTGAAGCTAAAATGAGGCCTCAGCAGTCTTAGTTAGTCAAATCAAGTGTGTATCTTTTGTGTGTGCATCTATTCAGGCACAGAACTTACATTCAACTACAACCTCGAGTGTTTGGGGAACGGGAAGACGGTCTGTAAATGTGGAGCACCAAACTGTAGCGGCTTCCTTGGCGTCAGGCCAAAGGTGAGTAATAGTAACACAAATGAAATACTACTCAGTTTGACTTTTTGGTAAACACCTGAGGAAAAAGTTATTTTGAATTTGTTAACGATTTCTTTGGCTGGTGGTTAATGGAAAAGTAGAATGTGGGGGGGTTACCCTTTTTTCCCACGATGAAAGTACCATTAAAACCTCCCTCCTCTGAACACACCAGAACAACCCTCCCTCTGACGACAAAGGTCGTAAGCTGAAGAGGAGGGGCCATGGCAGGAGGAAGAAGAAGGTGGTGGTGACCAAAGAACGGGAAGATGAGTGTTTCAGCTGCGGAGATGGAGGACAGATGGTTTCCTGTAAAAGACCCGGCTGTCCCAAAGTTTACCACGCTGACTGCCTCAACCTCACGAAGAGGCCTGCAGGTCAGTGGCTCTCCATGAACATAATAAACCCACTCTCAGGGGAGTTTTCAACACCTATGCCTGTTATTTTTTCTCTCATTTTGTTAAATGTATCACCTGAGAAATGTAGTGGAATTTAAGTATAAAGTCCAAATTTGGGATCAAGTACAGTACTTTGTTGACTGATTTTTTGACATTTGCTATTCTAATATGTTGTTGGAATTGTCTGCAAGCGCTCAGCACATAACAAAATAATACACAAAACACTGCTGTGTTGAAGATTAAAATATATACAATATGGAGAAACATATGTAGCGTGGCCAGAGATACAGTACGTGCTGTTCCTCAGAGACACACTTTAAATGGAGAAGAAACACATGGCAGAGTTTCATGGCCAATAGAATGAGTAAATGATGAAACCTAGTAGTTAACAGAAGTTCATACTATTTTACTTTCACAAATATTGAAGTTTATTTTCACAGATTCTATTTCCAAACAGGAAAAAACAAGTCAAATCTATCTTGATGTTCTCGTCTGTGTGTTCATCGTAGGTCGTTGGGAATGTCCGTGGCACCAGTGCGACATATGTGGCAAAGACGCCGCGTCCTTCTGCGAGATGTGCCCCAGTTCCTATTGCAACCAGCACCGCGACGGTCTGCTCTTCATCTCCAAGCTGGATGGCAAGCTGTGCTGCAGTGAACACGACCCCTGTGGCCCTGAACCTCTGGAGCCAGGGGAGATCCGGGAGTACACGCCCGAACCCAGAGCCCTGACCTCAGGTCTGGGCATGGCCGTCATCCCCTCTGCTGCTTCTAACACTACTACCAGTCAGAACCCAACCAGCAGGCGGGTCCAGGAGATCAGCGCCGGCGCTGGCATGTGCGCATCTGAGTCACTTCCTGATTTTTCCATCCCAGTACCCATCACTATTCCTGTTGCCGCGCCTGCCGCCTCGCCTCCCCCCAGCAGCTCTGATGCACCCAGCAGCCCGCACGTGTTTGACCTCCCGCACTACTCGCCCATCTCCTCATATGAGGAAGAGAGGGATGTCTTAGAGGAGGAAGAGGAGGAGGAGGAGGAAGAGGAGGAGGAGGAACTGCTGGCAGAAGTGGAGGAGGAGGAGTCAGGGGAAGAGGGTGAGGTGGGGAGGCAGAAATCAGATCCTCACGAAGAGGATGGGGAGTCGCTGATGGAGGAGGAGGGGCTTGAATACGTGGAAGAGGAGGATGACGAGGAAGATGAAGAGGAAGAGTGACAGTGGATTATTATTTACCATGGCACAGTTGAATAACAAGCCCGCACAGTCACTACAGTGGGAAGAAAATGAATATTAATTAATTCACATTTACACAAGTAGCCCAGTCCGTCACTGTGTGCAGGTAGACATAGGGAGGAAATGTTTAGGACAAAACTAAATCAACACATAAATAAATTGTTCAAATCTTCATAAATATATAAATAAACAGCATAAATACTGTATAGAATCATATATACACACAGACAGATCATTCTTATTTAGTATTTATTTAGTTTTGTCCTGGTAATCGCTCCGTTTTTCCCAGACCTCGGTACACACTTGCTATGGAAAAAGGTTCACTACACAGTGACTTTGCACACACTGGTGCTGACAGCGCCTTGACACGGCAGATCTAGACAAAGAAAATCATCCGGAGACGCTACATAGAACTCCGATATACTTGTTTTCTCTCATTCTGGCCGGTTTGTTTTGGTATTTCTTTCAGTAGTATTTGAGGTGTCATATATGTCAACAAGCTGTCCATGTAAGTTGGAGACAGTTACTGTGTCTGCAGCATCACAGAGGCAGAGTGTGGGTGTTTCCTGCTAGAAAAGACTTCAGCCCTTGTAAATGACTTCGAACAAATGGTTACCACCTTTTCATCGCTGCAGATCGGGGGTGGTTGTGCCAGGGGAAAAAATGTATTTATCCGTAAATAAACCGGTTTCAGTTCTCTGCCCCCTCTTGTGATCACAGCATGAGCTGCTGTCAGACATGAACAGTGTTCCAAATTAAACACAACCAGACTCTACTGGACTGAAATTTGTCCTTGTGGTCAGTGGACTTTGGTTACGTTCAATCAGTTAAATAATGTATTATTAGGATTTTACTCATCACAGCTTCCATTTACACTCCAGTTCTTCTTGACGCCTCAGTAGATCGTTACATGGTGCTTCAACAGTTGAGTGCTTCAACATCAGACCATCTACGAAAATGTGAAAGTGCCAGATGATCGGCTGCCTGGCGTAGCCACACCATGAGTTCACACGATAAGCGACTCGAGAACTCACTGCAGCTTTGTGGTTGTTGGTCACGGCTGTTGAAATATCATGCAGTCAGGTAGAATGAAATGTTGTTTAGTTTCAGTTCCAGTATCAGGAAGAAACTTTCTCTAAATGTTACGATTTTTATGCCAAAAAAAAGGGTGTGAGACTGACAAGGATTCAGTGTTTGGCTGACAATAATCTTTATTTTGGGGTAGGAAAGCCACAAAGAAAGTGTTTATACCATGATGGTGACACTAAAGCTGTCGCATAGGTTATTTAGCAGCTCCATAAGGAGACAGGTTGGACTGCAGGTTTCACAGACATCATCTAACGCTGGGCAACACAAAACTATGTCTTGCCCTCGCTGGTGGTCTGAATGCAGAGATGGCACTAAGTTTGCTCCAGTGTGTATGCTGTGTTCTGTAGTCATTATTTATAAACTGTTCTGTGACGCACAAATGATGACGTGGGTGAGACAGGCTGCTCGTTCCTCGTTCCCTCCTCATCTTGAAAGTCTTCGATTGGATGCGAGGCGCTTGGATGGACGATGGACTCCTGCCATAATGCTTGCACTTCAGTATGTGTTCTTGCCACACGTGTTTTGCTCTGTCTTCAAGCTTAATATTGTCTGTGTGTTATCTGCCAATGCCTTAGAGTGTATTTCTTTGGAGATATTTTTAAGGAATGGTTTGGTGCCTGTGAGAGCCAAGTGTCCCTACTAATGCCTTTTTACAGTTGCCCAACAAGCAATGTTTCATTCCAGTGTAATTATGACCCGTTAGACCTCCACCACCCATTGACCTGTTAAAACAACGGCTATATAAATATAAGAAAAAGAAGTTATGAAATAAGCTTTGTACTTGTTCTTCTTTTCATGAACTAGAAAACATAGATCTGTGAATTGATAAAAATGAAAGCCACTATGTATGGATTTTTTTTGTTGTGATTATAGCGTCTTACATCCTACTCATACATGGCTTTAAACTCCTTTAATTAAATAAAATCACATAATTCAGCATTCCAGGAAAATAACATTATTAACAGTATTAAATACCCTTTAAGTTCCGAATATGCACGATTGATTTGTATGTCAAATGCTACTTAGCCTAAACTTGACAAATTGCTGCTGAGTGCTAACAAAATAATCTTGTGTTTTATTTTGGTTAAAATTATGTGATGTTCACATTTTACTTTCCAGTACATAAATACACTTTTCATTCAGAATATGGTATGCTTTTTAGAAAGGCTGATTAGCATGTCATATGCCAATCAGCCTCACAGGATAAATTGCTGCTGAATGCAAACAAAATAATCATTATTGTTTAATTGAAAGGATGAGATTAAATATGCATTTAGTTCAGAATAGATAGATAGAAAACAGATAGACAAACCTCAGAAACTTGTCTCAGCTTTTCAGAAAGACTAATTAGCTTGGTTAAAATGTGTTGGTGTTCAGATTTTACACATTTACACAGTAAATACCTTTTTAGTTCAGAATATGGACAGAAAAGCCCAGAAAGGTTCAGCTTTATAGAAAGGACTGATTAGCCAAATACTAAATAAGGTATGGCTGTGCTACAAAAAGAGGGAGTCTTTATTAGAGACTTGATGTCTTATATCACAATTATAATTTTCAACATAAACTGCTTGTTGAATTCTTAACTTCTGTAGCCTGATTAAATTGTTTGTACAGAAACTGCACACAACTTTACAGAAATCTCACCTTTATTATTTTGTTTCTTTTATCATTTACAACATGCTACATAATTCAGGACAGCATTTTACTAGCCACTGTAGCCCCAGTTTATCTACAGGTCAAAAAACCTGTGTGGGGAACAGTCCGCCTCTTCTCTGCTATATGTGTATATTGTAGCAACAGCAGAATAACGTGAGGAAAACAGAGCGTCCACACTGAGAGGAATTTGATATAAAATTAATTTAGGCCTCCGTGAGAAAGCTAAATATCATGAATTCTTGCCAATAACTCACTGAGAAGATTCTCTAAAAACAAGATTTTATCCCAGTAATAATTTCTCTAATGCTTCTGTGTGAGTGGGCAGGGGTTTTAATGGGCAGGGCTGCAACTTCTGATTATCTTTTTCAGTGACCTATCAAGTAAATATATTGATAAGTAAATAACTAACACATAACTAAATAAATAGAAGATAAATAATTAATTCTATATAATATCAAACTGAATAGCATGTGTCTATCACAACTTTTCTTAAACTGACAAAAAACAACAGGCAGTGGTGGCCCAAAGGTTAGAGAAGCAAAGGGGTTTGAGACGAAGGGGATTTTTTCATTGCAATATCACGAGTGACCACCGAGACAAATTAGAAGCAAGGCTGTGTGGCAGCGCTCCATCACCCACGATGTAGCTAGCTAGGATGATGAGGTGCCCATTCTTAAACCCACCTATTAGACCTCTCTGAACAAATCTGAGATGTGATTCAGACTAAATCTCTGTTAGGTGATAATCAAACAGCAACAGGGGAGATGCTGTGGTAAACTTTATTTTTCACAGCTTTTAAATGCCATGTTGACAGAGACAGTTCTGGATTTAGCCATGAGATAGAAATTTCTGTGAGCTGTCCCGCCCTAAAAGTGGCACAAAACTAACAGGGTAGTGAGGAAAATGTACATCAAACACACTTTGTTCACACTCAAACAGTCCAGAATAGAGGTCTAAATCAGTTCAAAAATAAGTGACGACACCTAGGTGGGTGAACCAGAGGTAGGTGAAAAAAACAAAAAAGTGATAAAATAAGGCAGAGATTTAGTTTACAAAACAACAGAGGAAAAGAAAAGGAAGGATCGACACATCGCCACTCACAAGCAGAAACTGTCACCATTTTTAAATTAATTTATACAAAGTTAACACACACAGAGCAACTCAAGTACAAAATAAATCAACAGTCACAAGCCAGACTGTCAAAATGAGTGTAAACATGTAATACATTCAGACTCAGAAAGGCTGTAGACTTATATACAGAGCACTTCAAAATAAACATTTTTAATCTCCCCTCATCTGCTTTTATTAAAACAGCAACAATATTGTAAATGAGGTGAAGTCTCCAGTGTAAACTAGCTTGTGTAGTGACCTGTTTACTCTAACAAAGGTTCTTCACGCCAAACAAAACTTTTTCATTTTTCCAACTTTAAATGCTGCAAATCACTTAATGATTTATTTTTATTTTGCCGCAGCATGAGGTGGAGGTGTTGACACTGCTGAAAATAAAAAGTGATTTTAACCTTTTAAATCTAAAAAGAGTAAGTTGTCTGTAGTTTCCACAGATTTCTTTTCTCACTTATTTTAAGAACAGTGGCATTTTAAAGCTTTCATTGGTTTTGGAAGGTTTAGCATGTTAAATGTAAAAATAGCCTATATTTTACATTTCTATAAAATTCTCCAAAGCGTATTTTAAGTTTCTAGATTTATTGTTTATTATGGGTCTTTATTACATGGTTTCAGTGCAGTGTACCTTGCAGTGTTCAAAGACCTTTTTTAAGACCACAGAGAATGCAATTTAACACCCTTTCCACAGTCATACTGGTCAAAATAGTAGGGACAATAAGGCCTATAATTATTTACCAAGTAAGGAAGGAGGGCTGAAAAACAGGTGTTATTTTGAAAAGGGTTTGCAATATATAGTACAGGTGATGGGCTAAACCGTGGGTCTGTTTCATTTGTGCCACTTTTGCGGTTTCTGGTTTATGGTAATGTTCCTTTCTGAGGGATTTTATATTGTTTTCTTTTTCTTGGTGGGGATAGATGGCATGAGAGGACAAGCAAAATTATCTGCAAGTGGCATAAGCTGGAAATGCCAAACTGAATTTAAAAAAAGGGTTTTCAGTGTGCCACAAATTCTGTTCTGTAGTTGCTCTGTACAATTTTACATATATTGCCATTCATTTGCATAATCTTTTTTTCACTTCAATGCATAACCTCAGATATTATATGGGCAAAAAAGTGTGCATCAATCACTATAAAAATGTAAGGTCTGTCAAAGCTTTGAAACATTCTTTTAACGAGCCTTTAATTTTACAGAACATTTCTGCATTTCACACTGGCCTGTCTTAAACAGCCCTCAATAAAAAATATTGTGCATCAAAATATCAACAAGTGGAACATCAACACATCAAATCAGCAACATGGAGGAACCCCCACCTCCCCTGTCCTCCTGGCAACTTAAAAGGCAATAAATTAGTGAGTCAAATATAGCTGTAAATATTGTTTTGAGAACATTGCGATTACATTTTGTATTACAACATTCACTACCAACGTTTTTGTCCTGTGTTGGTGAAATCTGTAGTTTCTCAACACAATGAAGAGGAACCTTGATCATCTTTCTGTAGAAGTGGAGTTTGTCTTGAAACCTTTCAGAGCTTGTCTTCAGAGAAATGAACATCTCACGGCTTCACTGACAACCAGAGGAAAAGACATATTTCCATATGTGTACTTGCATTTGAAATGACAAAATAGAAAATTTAAGAGTTTAAACGCAGAACACTGTCCTTAAAATGTTGTTTCAGTCAGCTCAGGCCATGCATTTTAATTACAGAGAGCTAGGCATTTTAATAACATTTTAATAAATTTTAAATTTGATTTTCCTTTTGACAGACTCATAGCTTATTCAAAATATAACGTATCAGACACATGTTGTACGCGCCGACACCATGGATGTATTATAAGAGCTGGATATTCTAAAATGGCGGCTCGTCATTTGAACGAAAACTGCTCAACGAACACATGAACCAAGAGAGTTTTACAGCTTCTGGGTTTGTTTTCGTGTTGAGTGCACTGCTGCAAGTGCTCATTAATGTTTCTCCTGCTGGCCCTGCCCACACGTTCACGCTCAGTCTAAAGACTTCACATTCAGATGAAAATAAAAGTATTTGGGAAAGTTTTACAATTATAAAACCTCAATGGATACAAAGAGTAATAATTAAACCCCGTGAACAATTTTATACATTTTTCTTTTATAATGGTAATCTCAGGATTATTCTTGTTGCAGTACTACGGGTGACAAGTAGGGCAGATTAGCATGAAGGTCGTATCCAGCCCTGTTAATACATTCATGGCTGTCACATGGCAAAAGTTGTGGTAAACACTGAAGAGCCAAAGCTCTGAAAGTAGAATTTGGGGACACCTGCCATTTCTACTGCAGGTATAAGGCCTTTAAAAAGATCATTGGTATGATTTCATTCATGTGTTATACCAGATTTGGAAAGGTATAAGACAAATTTCAATTAAGTATGACTGGTGTTTTGTATCCTAGTATCCTTTGTACTCCATGTGTATAGGCTTCATGGACGATGTGCCGGACTAACAGCAAATTTAAATAGAGTTAAATAAAAAAAAATAGAACAGCTGTAAACAAACCATTCCCCCTCCTGGATGCACAGCACTCGCTACAACAATAAACCACCTCAATCAAGTTCTGCCAGTCCGCGGGTCATCTTTTAACCACAGCACAGCTCCAGATTGTTTGACACCACACCTTTAGGGATAATGTTTACTTCCACGGTCCAGCTAGGAAAAAGAAATGGACCAGCTGATAAAACACGGGACATAACTGGGTGAAAAGTGTGAATGTTGGTGTAAAATCCATCTCCACCCGGTAACAGTTGAATTAGATCTTCCTCCATAAAGTCTTGCAGCCCTCAGTTCTTTATGGCACAAAAGAAATAAACATATCTAACAAGGTTTAAACAGTACTGCCTGATTTCTGGTTCTGTGATATGGATTCCAGTTCCACATCCGAGTTATCTGACAGGCCATCCAACGTTATCCAGGTTTTACTCTAGCCGAGGGAAGGTGACCGCTCCTGTTTCCCTTGCTGCTGCTATGCATCAGTTGTTATGGCAACAGGTGTAGAAATATGAGTCCTTCTTCTGGCCCAAGTCCACGCCCGTTTCCTCCGCTGAAACAGAGGGAGAGACTTTATGATCATAATCTTTGTTTTGTGCAGCTTTGAGATCGGTTCTACAAAGCAAAGGAAAACCTGCCTCCGCAGATACAGATTTTGTATGAATTAAACGACAAGGTGTAACGTGTTAATTAGTGACCTTTATAAAAGATAATGTTACTGTTGGACAGAGCCAACAGCTATTCTAGCTATTTCCCTGTTTCAAGTCAGGTATGGCTGCAGCCTGGAGCCTCCTGTCTCAAGCCTGGGAGAGTCCAACGGTAAGTTCAGATGGTCAAAATTGCAATCTGGAATTATTTTCAAGATATAGGTGCTACACTATCCGCCATATCCGCCATTATTTTCAAGATGGAGGGGTTTACACAATCCGCCCTTAATCAGGAGCAGTAGGATGATGACAATGAGGAGAAGAAGAAGAAAATACTGTAACAACAGTGACAACTTAGGCTGACTGACTCTAGGGACCATGGTATCGACTTGAAAATCACAAGTTAGCCACGCCCTAAAGCATACCCTCCAAAATTTACTAAATGAACATCATGCTGTGTTGAAGACTTGAAACTAGCGACTGATACCATAAACTTATTATGTGTTTACTGAGGTAATAAGTCAGGTGAGAAGCAGCCTCATTTTGCCTTAATATCTAATACAATCAATCAGACTTCTTTTTGGAACCAGTGGAGTTGCCCCCTGCTGGCCGTTAGAAAGAATGCAGGTTTAAGGCACTGTTGCATTGGCTTCACTTTTCAGACCTGGAGGTTCCCGCTTGGTCAGAAGCATAAACTGTATATATAAAGGTCAGAAGCCAATGTGGAAGTGCCTTAAACCTGCATTCTTTCTAACGACCAGCAGGGGGCAACTCCACTGGTTTCAAAAAGAAGTCGCCACCCTCTTGTCCAAATATGGTCACGTCTGGCTCAAAAAACCAAACAAAAAAAACAAGACTGAATTTAAATTGCTCAACTTGAATTATTGCATTAAAAACTGAATTTGAATAGCATAGTTTGAATTTGTATTGTTTAACATGAATAATTGTATTGAAAAAATCTTAATTATGGACATAACACATTCAGATTCTACTGACACAAATATCCGCCCTTACATTAACTTGACAAAGTGAGTTTACGTGGCTAAAACACTTACCTGTCATATACTGGAAGGCAGTGTTGCTATAATCCTCAGCAACTTTCTGGAACAACTCATCTGTCAAGCAGAGGAAGAATGAGGCCCCTCAGTTTAATTCAGTTCATTCCCACATCATGACCTGATAAAAACAGGTCCACTCACATTCCTGATACCTGGCTTACAGCACGCAATAACTGGTGCAACAGCTGGTTTCAAACGAGCAGTGTGTTTGATCAGTGAGGCTCCTTCGTCCATTAGGTGCACTTTCCCCCTTATGTGCTCTGTGCCAGAACACATCAACAACACTAAAGGCAACAAACAAGCTGTTACTCTTGCTCTCGTAAATGTTAATGTTGTGTGTTTCAGGTAGTGGCACACAAGTGTTCACAGATAAAAAAATAAATAATTAACAACAAAAAAAGTGTTGAAATACACATCAAAAGTAGTTTTCAGGTAGGAAGGAAACCCTAAGAAATGAACTACAATTTAAACTATAATACAAAAGAGCAGTTGGATCTGGTTGAGTCTTGGTCAAGTATTTTATGTACAATTCCTCCATTTGGAAATGTTTTGAGCTGTGGAGGAGAAGGTGTGCAGATAAAAATAACCTGACAATGTTACTGGTGAAAAGTAGCCCAGTGTGGATGTTTCTTGAGTCTACGTTGAGTGTTATTTTCAGTGCTTAGGGGAGCACTTTATTCTCTTAATTTAATTTTTAATTTAAATAATCTCCCCTCTCTAGTCCTTACAATACTTCGTGGCCTTTGAGAGAAGAAGGCTTTTCTGTCTGTTGTCTTTTCATAAAATTGCCAATGTCTATGTCTCAACTTAACTCATGCCTTACACGTTATGCAGTTTCCTTTTTCACAATCATATAAGTGTCACAGGATTACTGCCAAAGAGCAATGGCTTCAAGATTGCCCTCCTTAATACTGTTTAAATGTTTGCAGTTGAAGAATTTGTTATTTAGATCTCGTGCTTTCCTTTGTAGATATGCTACCACTGAGAAACTACTACTGCTGCTTTTACCAGCAAATGAACGAGTTCAAGCTTAAAGCTCATTTGAATTTGTTCAACTTAAGTCCTCAAAGCCTGATTGGCCAGCAGCACCAGCAGCTCTCCTGTAGCCCTTTTTTAGCAAGTGAATATAAAACATTGAGGACGTCATGTACAACTTCGGGGAAACACTGATCGACATCCTTCATCAAACAAATCGACTCAATTAATCGAGAAATGAATCAACAGATTAAAAAATATTGTTAATTGCAGCCCTAGTCCACAAGCATAGAATTACAAGACGTTAATGAAATCTAAGGAGGAAGTAGTGGTCTGATTATTATTGTGGTTGTATGAGGGGTGTAAAAAAAAAAAAAAACTTTTTAATTCCCTATAGGGCTGACCGTCTGTGTCGGTTCGGCTGGCACCATTATCCAACGTTTTCCTCTAGTTTCGTGTCTCTATGAGATGCTCCCAGATGCGTCTCTATAAAACGCTGTGGGGCGTCTCGTGCATAGCTAGCTATGTTTGTGTTGAAGGTGCTGACAGCCCCCTGAAGCACTCTACCCTTACCATAACCATCAAAAATGTTAGTACCTAAACCTAAGTCCCTGACTTTATGCATGTCTATACGGATGCTGAAGGGTACCGTTGGCGTCAAATAATTACTTTGTCACGCTGTCTGAAAGCCTCGATAATGATGTACTGAGATGAGAACGCGTTGATAGACTGGCTGTGAATATTAAACCTTAGCAAAACTTAAATCGCTCATAATCACTCATAATCGCAATATCTGGCAGAAAAATCGCAATTACATTTTTTTCCGCAAATCATTCAGCCCTAGAAACACTTACAGGTCCAGCCTAGTAAGATTGTAGTCTTTACTAAAAGTGACACAGGAGCCTTTTCAGACAGGAGCCTGGCCCATTTCTGACTTTTTGTGTTTCAGTTTAACTGCTCTGTATATGTTGAACTTTTTCATGGTGTGGTCTTTGTTAAGGGAAATCAGCATACAATTTAACACAATAGCCCTTCCTTGTTTGTGTTTTCCCTTTTCCTGACAACGCCCCCATGCACAAAACCATCTCCTTAAAGAAATAGTTTCCCCAGTTTGGTGTGGAAGAACTTGACTGGCCTGCACAGAGCCCTGACCTCAACCCTATCAAACACCTTTGTAAAGAACTAGAACAAAGATTGTGAGCCAGGCCCTCTCATCAAACATCAGTGCCTGACCTCACAAATGCTCTACTGGATGAATGGGCAAAATTCCCCACAGACAAACTCCAAAATCTCGTATAAGGCCTTCCCAGAAGAGTGCAAGTTGTTACAGCTGCAAAGGGGGAACCACTATATTAATGCGGTCATAAAAGCTCTTGTAGCTGTAAAGTCAAGGTGTCCCAGTTCTTTTGTCCATACAGAGATTTTTTTTTTTTGCAATAATCAAGAATGTTTAGGTGCTTAAAAAGTAAAAACAAAATTCAGTATCAGAGTTCTGACGAAAACCCACGTCCTCAGTTCACAGACCACGAATAGCCTCAGCTGTGATTGCAGGCAACCACCAGTGTTAAATGCGTTCTGCAGATGACTGAGGGTGTGACTCACCAACATTACTTCCTGTTTTACTGGAGGTCTCGAAAAGCTGCGCACCAATCTCTGTGAAAGCAAACCAAAACAGTAAGGTTAAATGTCCGTCAGGCTGTGGCACAGGTGTGTGTGTGCGCGCGTGTGTGTGTGTGTGTGTGTGTGTGAGAAAGAGGTGGTAAGTTCTGTCCATGTAGCAATTCCTACAAATCACACAGACGTCAACGGTTTCTTAATATCGTTTAACCATAATCAGGACGGCACTTTAGTCATCTAATTTTTCCCCCGGTTTCCTTTTTCTACAGGTAACTCGCTGGAGAAACCTCATATTGTTCCTGCAGGGTTCACCAAGTTCAATTTAAGACTTCTGAAGAGCATTACCACACATACCGTAGAATTTATATAACTGACATACCAGCCAAAGTATAAAACAATGATGGAAAACCAGTAGAGACAATTTGGCCAAGAGTTAGGCCATTTTAATAAGCCTCTACCGTAAGTCCCAGCAGTACATAACAATTATTCCGGATAATATAATTAATTAGGGTGTTTCACGTGCACAGATGTACACGAAAAAGAGGAAAAGCATCACTGTGGCACAGGAGGATGAAGGCGAGGCTTGTGGCCTGACTTAAACTAAATAAAACTTAGACTGAACCTTCAAACTACAACTTTTTCCACAGCTTAGACATATTTGTCAAACACACAGTAAGAAAAAATGACTCAGACACACAGCTCTGAGCTGATTCTTACTGACTGTAGTTCTGCCGCCTTTGACAGACATATTCACAGCTGATGGTGTGACATATGCCATCAGACAGTGTGCCAACAGTCCATCACCAAAAGGCAACAGTGGAAGTGTAGCTGACCATCTGCCGACTCACGTCACGCCACAACCTGTGACACTTCTGAGGAGGGCGTTACAACTACAACTGAAACTGTAAAAGTAAACAAACTACTACACTCGGTAAAAAAGGCTGATTTGCCCCCTACAGTCCAGGTTAATCCAGTGCCAGTAACGGTGTGACGAGTTAATTAATCGATTAGTCGACTGACTGTAAATATTTGCTGATCTTCTACGCAATAATCAACAAATTAATGTAGTATATTATGTAGTATATTAACAAATAAGTGCACACATGATGTGTCATACCATAATAACCACATCAATCTGTTGTTTGTAAACATACTGAAGAAACATTAACAGCCTTCTGCTGGCCAAAGGAAATAATTCATGTGATAATGCAAACCTCTCAATGAAGGCTGCATGACAGTAATGTGCAGTATGAATTACACACGTTATGGTACATTAGTTACAACTGTTTTACATGAAACTGACCTCTGATCAGGCAAACTACACGAGAGTGATTATATTTACTTGTCACAGGCAAGAGTACCAATATTATGACCAATTAGAGACTGTAATTACCTTCAGCAAAGTCCTGAGCGTCGTGATAGTCGATTTGGCGCAGACCCCGATCTTCTTCAACCAGGTCGTTCTTAGTGCCACACAGGTAGATCTTACAGTGCTGCAGTACACAACACAGTGAGTGACATGTACAGAAGTTCAACATCTAACTTGTATTACTTCAACTAGCTGACGACTGACTACATATTTATGCCTTGACTTGACACAACTCCATACAATGCACAGAGTTACAGACATGCATTCAGAAACTTGATTTTGGCATCAAAAAGTATCATTTAGGCATCGGTAGCAAAACTTTGGTATCCAATTGGCACCCAAATGGTACCCAACCCGTCATGTGTACATAACAACCAAAGTGACTGCACACATACAGAGGAACAAAGACACAAAGAAACAAGACATCTAGTCACACATTTATACTGCGACTGTATTTATTTTTTATTATAGCATTATGAACTGGTAAAAAGCCATTTAACGATGGTGGCCGGAAACTGTCCGGTAACTATTAAAAACAAATCTCTATCACATTTAAATTTTGACTAGAAATGCTCTTACTTCCTCGCAGGTTTGCAGCTCCTTCACCCAGAACCGAGCTCGCTGGAAGCTGCTGCTGTCAGTCAGATCTGAAAGACAAAAACCCAACAAAGTTCAGGCACCAGCAGCAGTCTGACAATATGTTGTATGTTTACAGACTTTTAGTATTCTGCAGACTCTCCTTAAAATATGTATGTAAACACAACCATGCATACAGCACACAAGGAGACTGATATTAAAACTAGAATCCACAACCAATCAATTGGTCCTATTTCAGTGATTTTCCACAAAGGAAACATGAAAGGGACAAAGTAAAATCTAGGGAAAGTCTTTAGTAACTGATCAATCACTGATCTGATCAGTAAAGGTAATTTAACAGTAAAACAAACAAACAAAACTACAGTGGATAACAGAAACAACTGGATGGAAATAAAATCTACAGAAAGAAGATGGAAGGTAAAGAAGAAGGCCAGCAGACTTGACAGAAGATGTTAAATAAAACATGACAACAGCGTGAGTAATCTGCTGGGAAATGCCATTAGGCTATTTCCTAACAGACAAAGTTCCCCTATGTGGAACAAAGAAAAAAAAAATTCAGAAAATGCTGCACGTAGCGAGCCTCAACCTGTTTGAGGATCAATTTAACAACTGTGAGCAGATAGTCTGAGAAACATTTTATTAGACATTATCAGACCCTATAAGACCCCGATCAGACAGAGCGTAGTTTCTGCAGAGCACGGTGCTTGTTGCTAATGCATTTTAAATGCCTCGAGTGCCACGTGTTTTTGCAGGAGCGCTCTGAACAGCTGAAGGAGAAAAAATTCAACTTAGTGCAGAAAACTGACCGATGTCATTTGCGGGGGGGGGGGGGGGGGGGGGGGAGTCTACTTCACAGTAAAAACCATGGTTAGGCTAAGGACAGGTGATCTGCTGGAAGCAACAGCTGCTTCTTCCTGCTGCCGCTGCTCTGATCACTATTTTGGTCCTTTCCGAGACCAAAGTTTTTATCATTTCTTCACTTTTGAGACCATGCACTGCCCTTATCCATATCTTGTTCATTTTCACATTAATTGGGAAACACTGTTTAAGACAGGAGGCTTTAAAGTTGTGTCACAAATCTTAAGTGAACCACAGATTTGTTTAACAATGAACATTATTGTAACTGTCCTGGAGGTATTACTGTATCATATGTGATCAGGCTGTATCCTGCTTTAATTATATTCCCCACAGTGTGTTTACATGCTTTTGTTGACTTTTTGATATAGAGCGACGATAGGAAGGTTCACCCCGTCTCATTTCTGAATACAAGACTACTGGCGTGCAATGAATAACCAAAATAATTGTGTTTACATTCTTTAAAAGTGATAGCAGTGAGCAAAAGATTTGCAGTGGAGATGTGTGTTACTGAAAAGCAGATAATGGAGTCTTTCTTCAACTCGTCATTGCTGTCATCAATTTCTAGCAGCATCAGATACTTGTAGGTAAAAACACAAGCAGCCCAAGCTGAACAATCACATATCCATAGCCACTGTGATCCCAGCTACATTAGTTATGTTAGCATAAGGGAACAGAATAGAGGTTTAACCTGCAGAGACTGGGCAGAGTCCAGAGTTGAAGCAGAGTTGAGAAATGTCAGCTAAAATGTAACTTCAAGCCTTGTTAGCTCACCAACAAGTTAACAACATCTATAAAAAAAATGTCTGCTGACACTTGAAATGAGTATCAGCAGCTGTTCAGTTCCCCACTGAAAACACAAAAAGTAACCTCGTGCGGTGAAGTTCTTAATTTAGAAATGGTGCCCAGCTGTTCTCAGCTGCTGTTGCCCAAAGGTTGAGTTATGATACCTGAAAGTTCTCTGTAAGACGATTAGGAACAATGTGGATTTACCATAGCAGACCAAGGCTGCCCGGGCTCCTCTGTAGTAGATTCTGCTCATTGCTTCGTAGCGCTCTGATCCAGCTGTGTCCTGAGTAAGACAGAGAAGAGAAGAGTGGGACACAGGAAAGAAAACCTGAGCTCTACCTACAGTTAACGGAGACAGGGTGAAATGATAAGTCTTTCGCCTTGTATATCTCAAATCTGATGTTATAGTTGTACACAGTCAACATTCCTACAGCCCCTACACAGCCTATAAATGCTGTGTAATCCCCAGAGTGACAAGCTCTGTGGCTCAAAGCCAATTTTCCCCTGACTGCTATTGAGTTGTTGAATCACCTAAACCTGTGATTCGGAAACAGCTCAAATGTTTCTTTTGGCTACCATTTACTCAAATGTACTAATTGCTTATTTTCTCACAAATTTTTCTCACACATTTGTCTAATCAAGCTGCACATAGTGAGAAGTGAAATGCATACTTTTCAACACACTATGTATGATGAAAAGGTATCTTCCCTCCTTATTTAAATTAGATTCAACGTTTAGAGTGAGAATATTTGTGTGGCTCTGTGACCAAATCTCCAAGCCACATTTACCCTGGACAATTGTAAAAATAAAAAAAATAATGTTCAAGTACAGGTATTTCTCATTTTGTGTAAATGGCCTTGGTTGCCTAGGCCTTGTTGAACTGAATGTCAAACTGAACTGAAGGTCTTGGGGAGATCTACTGAATATGTGAAGTGGCTCAAGGCTACAAATCTGACTCACCCATATTCCCAGGGTAATCACTTTCTCTCCCACCTGGATTGGTTTGGCAACAAAAGCAGCACCGATAGTCTGTCAGGAAGAGAAAACAAGCGAAGTTAAGCATCAGACACCCATGGATAGAAATATTGGGGGTCCTTGTAGACTGTGGGAACTCTCAGTCTGAATATTGTTTCTTTATTACAATCATATTGTCCCACGCTAATATGGAGCTTCAGCTCAAATCCTGCAATTAAGTTGTTTTCATTTACATTTTCATTGCAGTTGGCTGTGAACTGGTATATTTATTTAGCCATTTTAACTGGTAATGAATCAGCAAATAATGCATTAAACTGTCAAAGGTGAGATAACTTACTGCAACACATTATTATCGTAACACATTATTATCTATCACCCACTGATCATCCAAACACGTGACTGACTACTATTCATACTAACCGTATTCTAACTAGTTAAAGTTTTAGAAATTATAAAATTCTGGATTTTTAAAGTCAAAGTGTGGATTTACAACAAGAAACCAGTAAGTCACATGGATTCACTTGGAAAAAGTTGTAAGAACACGTAACAACGTGCAAAAAGTAAAGGGGCCTAAATACTTTCCAATGCCACTTCATGCAACTGTCAAGTTCTAAAAAATATCACAGTATGTTTTTAAACAGGACACAAGAGAGGCATGTCTGAATAGCTTCCACTTTAATATAGAAGATTACAAAAATGCTTGTCTAATGCAGACTCTGCTTAAAGAAACATACCGAAACATTAATGCATCCCAGTTTCTATCATTCTATGCTTCACAGACTTGAGCCTTTATTACAACAACCTCCCCGGGGGCTATACATAAAAATAATCATCCAGGAATCAAGCAGGGAGGGAATCAGCAACGGGCCGACATTGAGTTTTAAATATGTAGCGTTGAAACTGAGCAGCTGACACTCACATTCTGGTACGGGCCGACCAAGAAGCGATGATGAACGTATCTCTCCACCAGGCTGGTCTTCCCCACACTCTCCTTTCCCAGCATCACCACTTTGGCATCCACGCGCATTGCACTCATACTAAACGAGTTTGGAGAAGCCCAGGATGAGGCCACAGCAGAGCAATCAGGAGGGGGGGTGGCGAGGTTAATGTACAAGGCTGATCAGTGTGCTGTGCGATTAAGAGACAGGAAACACAAGAAATGAGTCGCAACGCTAATGTAGTCGTAAATTTACAGATCTGATTCATTAAACACAATGACCAATGTGCATGTTTTGAGAAAAATATTTAATTTCTCTGGGATTATTTCAAATTGTTTAACTTTCTCTTATCTGTATCCGTCCGTGTCTGCAGATAATAATAATAACCTTTATTTATAGAGCACTTTACAAAACCCCTCTTACAAAGTGCTTTAACAAGTGCAAAGACAACAAAACACAAATTAACCCAAAGATACACGATAATATATAACGTTTATAAACATGTATTCAAATAGCTAAATTAGAATAAAACACAAACAATAAAATAGGCAATAAAATAGAATTAGCTGTGTCAGAGCAGCATGTTTTAAATATGTAGCGTCATCTGACAGTCCAGAAACCAATAAGTATTTACTTTATGAACATGAATTGATTAGAGCAGGAAAGGTATACTTGAATTAAGCTAATTAATACTGATGAATAAAACATTGTAATCAAAATCACCAAAGCTTTAACTGAAAGTTTGGCGTTTTACCTCAACTGTAAATGGGTGGATTAACTACTAAGTATTCGCTTTCTTATCTGACGTTACAATGAATTTGAAAGAAAAAATGAAATGTTACATGTTGTCTTTTATTCCGGTCTTGACTTTTCCAAATCACTAGTAACTTACTTTTTTCTCTCGATACTTTTAGCTCACTTGCAAGTGACTTGTTTTCCCTGCATATAGATGCACGTTATCTTTAAACAACTTTAAAAAATGTATTTAATTACATTAAAAATGTGATTGTCGATTACCAAACATGACATAGCCAAAGCATTAACGTTAGCTTCTGGTAACCAGGGTCAGAGAGCTCAGCTATCCTAAGCTAACCAGATATAAACACTCAAAACTCACCTGCTAGCTAGCTTGACTCAACAAATCTTTCTTGACATCTGATCTTTTTCAAGCAGGAGCCAAACCGGGGCGGTCATCCGTGCCTACCAAACCTGTTTGGAAGTAAATACGGTAACAGCCAAATCGCTTGTCATCTCTGCTCAGCCTCAGCCTAATGAGCACCGGGCAGTTGTTTGGACGCTGAAGTGGCAGCTAGCTGGGGCAACGTTAACTGCCACTGTTGCGCAATGACTGAAATCACACGCGAGTCGTCAACAACGTTACAGAAAGAAATAATAAATGGTTGACATTGTTTCTATATGACACTAGATAGACAAGCCCATCTAACTAACGGGAATCAACTGGATGGAGGGAGCGCTGGTAAACGTTTGTGTACGGAGAAAGACTCCATCTGCGCTTTGTTTGTTTCGGTGGGAACCAAAGAGGCGTCAGGGGCGGTTTCCAGGACACGGAAGTGACCGAATTACACGAGACAATCACCGGATGTCTGTAGCCATTTATGCTAATTTAATAAGTTTATAGATGTTGTTCTTTTTAATTTATAGGCTTTATATTGATTTATATCTCCCTCATACACTGTGTTTTTCTGCTCCTTCTGTTTAATTGTTTTGTATTTTTATTTTATTTTATTTGTCCTGGTCTAATCTGTATTTATATTTTCTGTTATTGCCTTGTCTCTTATTGTATATCATTTTCTTGTACTGTGGTGTTATTGTTAATGTACATTGCCTTGTTCATCTGAACGTATTTAATAAAGGCAATCAAAAATATATATCGTTATTGTTCTAAATGCATTTCCAAAATTTGCATTAAAATATTGCAATAGATCATTTAAAGTGAAAAAAATATTAATTACCTTTTTCTTTTTACTTTATTGCTATAATACAACATACAGACAATCAGTATGGGTACAAAACGGAGAACTTGCCAGGGGAATATAGCCTAAACCTTACACAAACAGAAATAAATCATTTCTGGTGATGGCGCAATGGATAAGACATATGGCTTTTGGTGTGAGAGACCTGGGTTCAGTTCCCCACTGTATCATATCCACCATTGTGTCCCAGAGCAGGGCACTTTACTTCTAGTTGCTCCAGAGGTGTGTGACCTCTGACATATAGCAGTTATAAGTTGCTTTGGATAAAAGCGTCAGCTAAATAAAATAATGTAATGTAAAAGCAGCAGCTATATATCTATAAATACATAATGGGTAAAGTGCATTGTTTCACCATTTTAATAGCTTTCTTGTTCAAACATATTACTTAATTTTTTTCTTAAATTCAGTGAATATTAGTTTGGCATCAGTGAATTTCCATTACAGTTATTCATCCAATTTCTCCAAATCCTAATCTTTAAACTACATTCACAAAACCCCTGAATTGCCTAAAAATCATGTAATCTGTGCTCAAAATCAAACAATGCTTTCAAAACATAAACAAAGCCAGTGGATATCTAAGACACTACAGAGCATTCTTCAGACACTAAATCAGAAAATTGATAACACAGAGTCCAGGGCATGAAAATGTTTTTTGTGTATAAGAAACACATTTTCCAATTTAAAAAACTATTGTAATCACAACTTAGTGCCGTAAATACTGTAAGTCGGTTACTGCATGTAATACAGTATTGTGTATCAGTATATTCAGCACTTGCATAAAAATACAGTACTGTATACCCAAAGAACAAAGAAAACTCTAAATGAAAAGCACACTACACTCAAAAATGTTGCGCAATGAGAGATTCATTCTGCCTCAGCATCAAGTCTTTGTGCTGGGTCGGACAGAGGACTGTGCACATCACAGACAACCTTGTCCCTTGCTAAGCAAAGGAGAAAAACCCTTGGGTGTGCTGGATGCAGCCTTAGTGCAACAACACCCCACACCTATCTCACCAGGCCAATTGTATTGCCTGTAAGAGATTTTCCCCAGTAAATGAATTTCGGTCATAGACCTCCCACCACCAGGCAGAGAAAAAGTACTTTATTGGATGGAAGTAAGGGCTGTATGGTTGAAGGTAATCAGCAAGTAATAAATGTATAGCTAGGTGTAACATTGCCACCAGTGTGTTTAAGTTCATTTCAGCTCTTAATGTTTGTATGTGGGTGATCAACTTGAGAAGCACCTATGATCTCGTTCCACATTTTACTGTGTGTCAAGTAATGTGGGGAACTCGGTCTCGCCCTCCCTCGACTTGGTCTCAGCCCTTAAAAGTCTTGGTCTTGACTTGGTCTCGGTTTGGGCGGTCTTAAGCCGCATGTATTTACCATTTTGCAACACAAGTGCATCACAGTGCAAAATGTGTTTTAGTGAGTGAGAATGTATTTAGAGTTTTGCAAAAAGAGTGGATGGGATGGGAACTACCTGAACTTTTTAGGTTTTGACAAACAGATTTAGGCCACTGAGCATTTGCTTCAGAGAATGTCGTTTAGTGTTGTAGCAATTGTGGAAAAACTGTAATATAAAACAATATCTATCTCTCTCAGATATCGCTTCTTTGGCACGAAGAACCCGATTGGTCTAAACCGTTAACCGCCGCCTCTGGCTCCAGCTGTGATTGGTTTAGGGTTCATGAGCTCCACCAGTCGCTCCCAACACACGCACTCACACGGCGAGAGAGAACCCAACATGGCTGAAGCAGAGACAAGCGAGTTAACTTCTGGTGGAATTTTTCAGGAGATCTTCACCTCCCCGTTGAATCTCACCCTCCTCAGCCTGTGCTTGTTCCTCCTGTACAAAATCTTCCGCGGAGACAAACCACCGGAGCTCGGCGAGGTGGAAAAGCCGCTGCCTAAACTGAAAAAGAGAGACTTCACCAAGGCGGAGTTGAAGATCTACGATGGACTGCAGAATCCAAGGATCCTCATGGCTGTCAACGGGAAAGTGTTCGACGTGACCAGAGGAAAGAAGTTTTACGGGCCAGGTAACGTTTCCCGAGCCGTTACGACCCGTTCTGACGTCCCTCTCGTGTTACAAACGTAACGTCACCAACGGCCGCTAGCGTGAATGGCCGTTAGTTTGGTGTGCCATTTTATTCCTTACATATCAATCCACTGACATTATTGACAAACACAAGTCATTGTTTGAAATATGTTTTAAGTTTAGTTTTGTATCTAACTGGAAGCTAACGCCACCCCCCCTTTTAGTTTGGTAACTGAGATCCCGTTTCACAACAGAGAAGCTGTTTTAGCCTTGGAACCACAGATCGTCTAAGCAAGAAGCTGAGTTACTCTGTAGTAAAACAAAACAACCAACTTCACCGCCACCATGTTTGTGGTGGGCGGTATCTCTACCTCCCGGAAGTTTGTTTTTTAATGATAACTTACTTTACAAAGGAACATTAAATAAAATTTAGTATGAGAGGACTAAGAAGAAGATGCTAGCGATAAGTATTGAAATTAGACTCTTAAGGATCTTTCATAAAACCACACCACAACAGAATTTAATAAAAATATCATGTCTGCAAGTAACAATTATGTTAATAATTGATTTATCTGACTTACGATATAGTATTAGGGTCACATTGAGGATGAAGATCTTCATTTATATTGCATTTCAAGTATAAAGTTAAAATGACAAGAATAAATTTGAAGTACCACTTTAATATTGACATTTCAACTTTATTCTCAAAAGCCATTAGTATTAAAATTAGACTTGTAAGGTTTTTTCATAAAACCACCAATTTCTTCTGCAAGTAACAATTATGTTAATAATTGATTAATCTGATTTACAATGTAGCATTAGGGTCACATTGAGGGAAATCATTGAAGATTATCATTTATTTTGCATTTCGAGAAGTCAAAATGACAAGAATAAACTTTATTCTCAAAATGGAAAATACATTAAAAAAAATCTTCATCCTCCAGTTTCTTTTCCTTAATATGGCTCAAATGCTTAGTCGTACTGCCAATCAATTGTTTTCTGTACAAAATATCAAAAAAATGAAAACTATCTTAAAGGAATGACAACTTTTTTCATTTCTCATTTGTTCTAAATATCTGAAAACAACAACAAAAACAAGCACCATCACACATCAGACATTTCTGTCTCTGGGAAACAAAGACAGAGTTGGACCTCTCTGTTCTGAACTTATCTCAGATTGTAACCTCTGTTGCTTGTAACCTCTGACCAACATGATTGCTCACTATGATGCAAACCTTTTCAGTGCACTGCACGCTCACCCCTAAAGCCTTAAAATCCTGCGTTGGTACAAAAGGAATGTAGCTGATTTAAATAGTGTCCACCTGCAGCAGGTTTGGTGACACTTTGGTAGCGCTAATGTCTGTTTCACGCTATTAAACTTGAAAGGGCAACATTTTGGTACAGATATAAAAATGACACAGTGATACCTTTTTTGGGGGGGGGGGGTCAAATGTTAAATGCTGTCTTAACACAATAAACTATGAAAAAGAATAAGTAAAATGTTTTACCGCTTCCTTCCTGACTCACAAGGTCGACAAACAAAAAATGTCTGCGGACACATCTGCAGGCAGCCATGTCGACGTGGCTGCTGTGGAACAATATTGCTGCCCCCGCCTTTTCAGTTTTGGGAAGGTGGTTAGTTTCAAGCCCTAAATGTTGTCCTCAGTCACCATCGTCTTTTCTAAATGTTAACATGTTTCTCCCATCATAAATTGACAGCTAGTCTGGTGTTAAATATTTATTGTTATACTGTAGAGCAGGGGTCAGTAAATAAGTCTGGCATCGGGACAAAATTTTTTCAAGTCATTAGATGGCAGGCCAGCACATAATTAATTTATCATTTATAATCCGTTATATGTAGGTGTGTGCCTCTTCACTGGTCTCACGATTCGATTCAATTCGATTACAATTATCAGGTCAACGATTCGATTAGAATCAATAGCACGATGTATCACCTCAGGGGTGGGAATTTCTAGGCACCTCATTACGATTATGAGGTTTTTATTATTGTTTCTTGTCTTGTAAGTTGAGTTGGGTTCGTTGTGTACTCTGTATGTGTATGAATGACAACAAATGAACAAGCAGCAAAAAACATCCTGCTCAGCTTCCAGATCGCAGTCTGAAGAGGAGACGCTAGCTAGCGCTAACTGCCTACACTTTTCCAGTAGTTGGGAAAACAACAGACAGACTTTAGTTAACGTGACCTAAACTGTACATTTACTGCCAAACTGAAACATAGCGCTCGTATTTTCATCTGCTCCTCACGCTTTCACCGTCACCTACTGCCACCTGTCACGTACCTGTCATTTGAATAATGAGCAGAGGATGCTAGCTAAGCGTTACCGTACTGCACAGTGTGTGTCATTAACATGAGTTGTGCATTGATTTTATTGATCATGTGAAAGTTTAGCGGCGATTCAGTCATTCATTCAACAACTGTCTGTCTGTGCCAAACAGGGAGAACCACACGTCTCCGTTGTGTGTACCGCACAGACGGTCCGGAGTTGCGCTTCGCATTTCCGAGTTCTGCCTTTTTTG